AAGTGAAGGAGGTTGAAAGTGATAAAGTACCCGTCACTGTCACAAAGAAGGTACCGAAATTTGTTAAAGATCTTAAAGCAAACAAAACAACACTAACTGAAGGTGAACAACTCATTTTGGAATGTGAACTTGACATGGCACCAAGCGATGTCAAACTCCAAATCAATGGGGAGACAGTGCCTGAAGATAGAGTAAAGACCGAGGTGAAGGATAAGAAAATCAAGTTCACATTAGACAACATTAAACTCGATGAATCTGGCGATTATACTGTTAAAATCAATGATGAAGTTGATAGCAAACCAGTATCTATAACTGTTAATGCTGATATTCCCAAATTCATCAAAAATTTAACAATCAATAAAAAACAATTTGATCTTGGTGAAACACTTACCTTCGAATGTACACTTAATAAACCCTTTGATGATATAGTTTGGTTGAAAGACGGACAACCAATTGAAGAAGATGCACACATTCAATTCACAAAAGATGGCCCTAAACTTAAACTCACAATCAAAGATGCACAACCAGCTGATCATACTGGTACATACTCTGTTCGCGTAAAAGAAGTCGAAAGTGACAAAGTGCCAGTTACTGTAACGAAGAAGGTACCAAAATTTGTTAAAGATCTCAAAGCAAATAAAACAACATTAACTGAAGGTGAACAATTGATACTCGACTGTGAGTTAGACATGGTGCCGACACAGGTTGAACTTCAATTAAACGGCGAAACAATTCCAAACGATCGAATAAAACCGGAGATTAAAGATAAGAAAATTAAATTCACTTTGGATAATATTAAGCTTGATGAATCTGGTGAGTACACTGTTAAAATCAATGATGAAGTTGATAGCAGACCGGTTTCAATTACCGTTAATGCTGATATTCCTAAGTTTGTCAAAAATCTAACAATCAATAAGAAACAATTTGACGTTGGTGAAACACTCAATTTTGAATGTACGCTTAATAAACCCTTCGATGAAATAGTCTGGTTAAAAGATGATCAACCAATTGAAGAAGATGCACACATTCAATTCACAAAGGATGGTCCAAAACTTAAATTAACAATCAAAGATGCACAACCAACTGATCATACAGGCACTTATTCCGTTCGTGTCAAAGAAGTCGAAAGTGATAAAGTACCTGTTGTTGTTCAAGAAAAACCAATAACATTTGTCAAAGATCTTAAAGCTGTAAAACCAACTTTAGATGAAAGTGAAACATTAGAATTATTTTGTCAATTAAGTCGACCATTAAAGTCTAATGAAACTATTCAATGGTATCGTAATGAAGTTGTAATACCAATTGAACAAGATTATCCAACCGAACAAATTAATTTACAAATTCCAAATGTTGAACCAACAATGTCTGGTGATTATTATTTAGAAATATCAAGTCCTGATCAAAAGAAACCAATAAAAAGTTCTTCAGTTAAAATAACAATAAAACCAGAACAAATTAAATTTATTAAACCACTTCGTGCATTAAAAAATCCATTAAATGAAGATGAAACCTTAGTACTCGAATGTGAATTAGATAAACCAACTTATAAATCAGTTATTTTCTTCTTTCATGATAAACCATTAAATGAAAATGAAGATGATCGTATAAAAATTACTCAAACAGGTAATAAATTGCAAATACAAATAACAAATGTTAAACAAGATCTTGATCAAGGTGAATATACAGTTACTATTAATGAAAAAGTGACATCACCATCCGTTAAAGTCACAATTCTAAAAGCATTAACATTTATCCAAGATTTAACTGTATCAAATTCTGAACCAATTGTTGATGAAACAATAACATTTGAATGTGAATTATCTCAACCATTACCCTCCGGTGATAGTAAAGATCTTTCATTAACACTCAATGGAAAAGTTTTATCAAATGATCAAACAAAACGTTTAAAAATAAGTATTAATTCAACAAGTCCAAAAATAATATTGACTTTAGCAAATGTTAAATTAAATGTTGATCAAGGAGATTATCAATTAAAAATACTTCATCCACAAGAAATTCAATCACAAACAGTTACTGTTACTGTTCGACCGAAACCCATTGAAGTTATTCAACCATTACAATCCGAAAAAGCTGATGTATTCGAAGATGATACACTTGTCCTTTCAACAAAATTAAAAAATGTTCCAGAAAATCCAACTATTACTTGGTTAAAAGATGATAAACCGATAACAATTGATGCTAAACGTATTCGTTCAATTCCATCACGGGATGGTCAACAATTTAAACTTTCAATTGATAATATTAAATTAGATGAAAGTGGAAATTATATTTTACAAATAAATAATGAAAATATAACACAATGTTCAATTGAAATCAAATCAATTCCACTTAAAACAGTAACGCCATTAAAAATAATTGGTACACCGATTGTTGGAGGTAATGTTGAACTTCAAATTGAATTAAATCGTCCAAATGTTCCATGTATTTGGTTAAAAGATGATATACCATTAGAAAATCAACCAACATTAACAAAAGATCAAACAAAATATCGTTTGAAATTAACAGATTTAAAATTAGATGATACAGGAATGTATTCAATTAATTTTAATGATGGTGAACTTATAGAAAAAGTTCAATTGACTGTTGCATTACCACCTTTAGATTTTATTGAACAACTTAAATGTATTCCATCAGATGATATTGAAGAAGGTGCAGATGTTATTATGCAATGTGTTTTAAATCGACCAATTGATGATGAAAATATACCAATTACATTACTTAAAAATAGCAAACCAATAGATAATGAAAGAATTAAAATTGAACGTGATGGACCAACATTAAAAATTCATTTAACAAATGTTAAACCTGATGATGCTGGTAAGATTTTATTCAGAAAATATAAATTGTTTTATTATAAAATTTTACCGATTTTTTAGGTACATATAAAGTAACAGTTGATAAAACAAAAGATACAAGTACTCGATTAAAAGTTCATGATAAACCATTATCAATTATTGAACAACTTCATCTTGTTGATGCTACAGATGATAGTAATACTGTTAATGAAAATTCACCATTTGAATTATTTATTCGTTATAATAAACCTGTTAAAAATCTTGTTCTTAATCGTGATAGTAAACGTGTTCCAGCTGATAAACATATTCAAATTATTTATGAAGATGATTCATCATCTGTACGAATTCGTTTTGATGCTGCTCAACCAGATGATAAAGGAAAATATGAAACATTAGTTAAAGATTCAACAATAACTGATAAAGATGGTCTTCGTAGTCAATCAGTTGTAATTATTGTTAAACCATTACCTGTTCTATTTACTTCTGATATACAAGTATCAGCAGCTGATAAAGATAATATTCCAGAAAAAACTGAAGTTATTTTAACAACAACAATTAATCAAGAAAAGGGTAAAGTTAAATGGTTTTTAAATAATAAAGAAATCAAAGAAGATCAAAATCATAAAATAACAATTAAAAATTTACAACGACAAGTAACAATAAAATCGTCAGTTATTGCCGATACTGGAATTTATTCAGTTAAAAGTGATGATGATGAACGAACTATTGAATTAACAATAAAAGGTAAAATTTCTTTTTAGTAATAACAAAAAAAATAAACCATAAGTATTTTATTTAAGATGATTTACGATTTACAAAAGAATTAACACCATCGAATGTTAATACAATTGAAGGTAAAGAAAAAGAACTTGTATTTGAATGTGAAACATCAAAATCAACACCTGTTCAATGGTTTCATGATCAACAAAAATTATCACCAACAGAATTAAAAAAACATTATCAAATTGAATCAACGAAAAATAATACATTACATAAATTACGTATATTACAACCTGTTACATCTGATACAGGTTTATATCGATGTGTATTACCAACAAATACTGAAACAAGTTCACAATGTACGATTGAACCAGCTGGAGTTGATTTTCAACAAAAATTAACAACACCTGTGCATGTTGAATATATGAAGAGTGCTTTACTTGAATGTGAACTTACGAGAAAACCACAAAATGTTGTTTGGAAAGATAAAAATGGAAAAACTATTGAAGATGGAGATAAATATGAAATTATGAATAATGGAAAATTACAAGGTAACATTAATATTTATTTCTTAAATTCTATCATTCTTTATAAGAATTCAAAGATCTAATCTTTGACAAGCAGATGAGTTTCTATATTTACTAGATAGATTTATCATTGATATTCAGAATAAAAGATCAATACTTTGACAAAATAGTATCAGTGTTTCATCTGGCGGGTGAGCGCCGCCAACTCTAAAATTCAGTCTGCCCATCCGAAAAAATACAGTAGCTATATGTTTTGAGGTGGGCGCTGGATGGACGCCGCCCACCCTAAATTTCGATTTGTATACCCTAAAAAACTGATCAGTATTGAATGATTTGATAAAAATAAAATATTTTTTATTTTCTAATAGGACTTATGATAAATGATTGTGATGATAATGATAATGGTGAATATACAGTTACAATAGATAATACAAAATCATCAACAGCTCAAGTTATTGTTGAACCAGCTGAAGAAAAAGTTCGTTCACCATCACCTAAACTTGAATCAACAGAAGAAACAACTAAACCAGGTTTTCGTAAATTACTTCCAAATAAATTAGATACAACTGAAGATGCAGAATTTATTCTTGAATGTGAAGTTAATGATGATAAACAAATAACGGATTGGTATTTAGATGATGATCTTATTGATAGTAAAAATCCTCGTTTTAAAATTGTTAACAATGGTCCAATAAGACAATTAAAAGGTTTAAAATCTTTTTTAATAATAATAATAATTAAAATATAAAAATTCTTTTCTGTCATATTTTAGTTCCAAAAGCTGAATTAAATGATACTGGAAAATATACATGTAAAGATCGTCAAAGTGGTGAAACAACAAATTGTGATGTTACTGTTAGTAAAGCTCCTATTCGTATTATTAAAGGATTACCAGAAACATTAATTGTTCCCCAAGGTAAGAAAAAAATTCTATTTTTTATAAACGAGTGCGTTCATATTCATCTACATGACTTGAAGGATGTGTAACAATAATATAAGGAGCAGGTTTTTGTTCTTGAAAATATTTAATTCGAACTGGTTGTTTAACTTTTGTTAAGAAAAAAATTAATATTGGATAACCATGAAGAGATATAAATGAATAATTTATTAGAAGTATTTCAATAGTTTGTTGTTTTATATTCATAGATAATCGTAAGAATACATAGATATTCAATGGACATATTGATAGCATATAATAAATATTATAAATATTTAAATGAATAAGTATACGTTGAAATTTATTTTTCGAACGTTTACGAGTTATAGATGATCGCATACGTTTTGTATGTATATTAATACGATAGATAAGAAAAATAATGGCAAATAACATTATTAAAAATGGTATTAAAAATTGTAATAAAAACCATAGAAATTGAAATTTAAATGAATTAAAATAACATATTAAACAAGGTGAAATTTCTAAAGCACATTTTGATAAAAGTACAAATAATGTTATTATTATACTTAAGAAAGAAAATATAATTAGAAATGGTGTAAATTGTCTGATTAATGTTAATTGAATATTTTGAGAATAGAATATAAAAAATGTTCGTTCTAAACTAGCATATGCTAATGAATAACCAATACCAGATGATGTTATAAAAAATGTTATTATATCAAAATTACATAATAGAAGATGTTGTTGACTAGATACCATTGGTATAAATGATGAATAATATTCTGTTAGTGTATGTAATGGTGTACTTATTAGAAATAAAAGTATTGAAAATCCTAAGGAAAAATGATAAACATATGTTAAATATGTTCGTTGATATTTATGACGAATATAACGTGTTAAACTTAAACATAGAAATCCTATTCCAATTGATGCACTTATCCATGTTAATAGATAATAATAGAATCGAAATGGACGAATATTTATGATAGAATCAGTTGATGATGTTGTATTCATTTTGTTAAATGATAATAATAAAAAAAACGAAGAAGAAGAAGGAAATGAGACAACTTTGTAGAAAAAAGAATATAAAGAAGAGGAAGTTTTCCTTTTTTTGCTAGTGAAACAAACTTGACGAAGAAAAAGAAAAGATACGGATTTATGCTTGATAAAAGAGATGCATAGTTATTATCATAATCAACGTAGTCTATTTAGAAAAGTAGATGAGTATGTCTGTTAAAGAATAATATGATAAAGTCATGTGCAATTAATATGTCATAAAAGAAATATAAAAGAAAAAGGAAGAAAAATTCTTAATCTATTATAATAGAAATTTCAAACTGTCACTTAAACAAATTAACTTAATGAACTTTAAATAAATAGAACAAAAAAAACAAAAACTAAATATTTAATTTTTATCTTAAGGTGAACAATTAAAACTTGATGTTGAATTATCTCATCCAAATGTGCCTAATTGCCGTTTTATTAAAGATGATATTAATAATCCAATTCGTAAAGATAAACGAACACGTGTAACATCCGATGGTACTCATCATACTATTATTATTGATGGTGTTTTACCAGTTGGTGATAGTGGTATATATGAATTTATTGGTCCAAATGATTCATTACGATCGACATGTAAAGTTACTGTACAAGGACCACCAAGTAAAATAACTCAACCATTAAAAGATATAACTTTACAAGAAAATCAAAATTTAACACTTGAAGCACGTGTTGATAATGAACATGCACCAGTTACATGGTTTATTAATGGGAAAGAAATTCCATCAACAGGTGAAACACCACATATAACAATAATGTCGAAAGGACGACGTCATACATTAGTTGTACAAAAAGTGAATGCTAAACAAGATGCTGGACAATATGAAATACGTACACCAGATGATGCTAGTTCATGTCAAGTTACAATTGAAGAAATCGGTGCACCACCAGCTGATTTTACTAAGAAACTATCAAATATTGAAACAGAAGAATTTCAAACAATTGAATTAAAATGTGAAACAAATCGAGATAATATTCCTATTGAATGGTTAAAAGATAATCAATTAATTGAATCGAATGAACATTATACAATAGAAAATAATGGAATTACTCATACATTAATTATTCATGATATATTAATAAATGATCAAGGTTCATATACATGTAAAATTAAATCAAATGGAAAAATAACACAAGCGACAGTTAAAGTTAAAGAAATGCCAGCTGATTTTGTTCATAAAATTGGTATGTTGTTATTATCTATAGTGTCGGAAATTTTTTTAATCTGAACGGATGTCTCTTTTTCTGATAATTGAGTATCTTCAAAACAGGATGCTTCAAAAAAAATATGAATAGCAGTAGAACAATCCAAGCAATTTACATAATTTTTGACATGAAACGATGAAAAGTTATTCACCTATTTTTTTTCTCATGAACTTTAAGGACTATTGGTACAGGATAGGGAGTTGCGGAGTACTCCGATTCCGTTGGAGTCGAGTTTCGGAGTCAAAAAATTTGACTCCGCAGGTCCTTAGTACGGAGGTGTTCTTTTTATCTTTAAATAATACGAGAATGTTTTAAAAAATTAATGAGATCACATAAATATAAATTTGTTCTTTTTTTTAGAATCTATCGATGCCATTACAGGTGATACAGTCACATTTGAATGTCAATTAAATAAACCAAATATAAAAGTTAAATGGTTAAAAGACAATAAACCATTAACATCGAATGATCGTATTCAACCATCAGTTGATACAGATAATGCTCATATCCATTTATTAACATTAAAAACAATTGATTTAAAAGATGCTGGTACATATACATGTGCAATTGATCAACCACAAGGTAAAAAATGTACAGCACCATTAACAGTTAAATCAATAACAGTGAAATTAATTGAACCATTAAAAGATTCAACATTTACTGAAAATGAAAGTTTAGTGTTGAAATTTACTGTCTCACATGATTTAAAACAAATTCCAGTCATATGGAAATTTAATAATAAAGTCATTGAAGCTGATAATGAACGTACACAAATTGAACAAGATGGTAAAGCTTATTTTCTAACAATAAAACAAATACAATTAAATGAACATGGTTCATATTCAGCTGAAATACCCATACATAAAATAACAACAACATCACAAGTTAAAATTAAACCGGAAGATATACAAATTGTTAAAGAATTACATATTGTACCTGATGATAAACATCCAGATAATATTCTTCTTGAAATACAATTAAATAAACCATTATCAACTGATTTAATACTATTAAAAAATGGTAAAAAACCAACAAAAACAATTCCATGTGAAAATTTTAATAATGGAATATATCAATTTACATTAGAAAATGTTAAACCAGAAGATTCAGGTTTATATGAAGTTGTCATTCGACCAAATCTTAAAAGTTCAGTACAAGTTGATATTAAACCAAAAGAAGATAAACAAGAAGATTTAGATTTTCTCGTACCATTAAAAGATAAAATTGAAATCAATGAAAATGAACCAATTCATCTTGAAGCTAAATTAAATCGTAAACCTGATTCACCAAGTGATATTGTTTGGTTACGTAATGGTAAACCTATTCCATCGTCGGTAAAAACATCGATCGATGCAGATTTTACAGTCACATTAGATATTCCAGAAGGTAATATTGAGAATGATAGTGGTAAATATACTCTTAAATTACCAAATAATAAACAATGTTCAACACAAGTTAATATTCTAAAGAAAATAACACAAAAAGATAAAAATGAAATAATTCAACCATTACATATTATTCTTGATGATAATCAAGACAAATTAAAATTGAATGAAAAAGTTACATTAAGATGTAAAACATCATTACCAGTTAAAGAAGTTGAATGGTATAAAGGTTCACGAAAGATTTCAACACGTCGTGCAACTGTTTTAAGTACAGAAAATTCAACACAACATGATTTAATAATAACAAAATTAGAAGCTGATGATCTTGGACAATATCGTATTGTACTTGATACAAATCTTGAATCATCGGTTGATTTAGATATTCCACAAGAACTTAGTCCAATTTATATTCAAGGTAAACCAATTGAAGGTGAAACAATAACACTAATATGTGAAACAACACTTCCACCTAAACAAATTCAATGGTCACCAATTGTTGATCGTAAACGTTATGATCAACAAGATTTAGTATTAAAAATAAAAAATTTAAATCCGGAACAAGATGCTAAAGTATTTACAATAGTTGTTGATGGACAAAAACAATCTTATGAATTAATTATTGAACCATTACCATATAAATTTCAAGGAGCAACAATTGAAATAAATCCAAAATTACCTAAAGAAGATGATAATGTAACATGTACAGTTACATTAAATAAACCATTAAAAGATCAAAGTGTTGAATGGTATTTAAATGATCAATTAATTGCTCCAAATGATCGTTTTGTTTTATCAACAGATGGACCACGTGCGATATTAACAATTAAAAAAGTTCGTCCTGAAGATGCTGGACAATTAGAATGTCGTATACCAGCAACAAATGAAAAATTGACAGCAGAATTAAAAGTTAAAGAAAAACCATTAACGATATTAAAACCATTAAATTCTGATAAAGATAAACCAATTGAAGGTGATGATGTAACATTATCATGTCAATTTTCACGAAAACCAAAACAAATTGAAGTATATAAAGATGGTAAAATAGTTGAACTTGATCAACAATTAAATGATATTGATGCAACATTTACAATACGTTTACCAAAAACAAAACCAACTGACAAAGGAAAATATACAGTTACTGGTGATGGAGTTGAAACATCTTATACATTAAGATTAGCACCAAATCCAATTAAATTTCTTAAACAATTAAAATGGGATAAAGAATCACCATATGAAAATGAAACTGTTCAAGCAACATTTACACTTAGTCGATTACCAGATAAACCAATGCAATGGTATAAAGGTAAAATTGCTCTTCCATTGGAATCGACACCTAAATATGAATATACACAAATTGATTGTACATTTACATTAACAATACCTTCAGTTGAATTAAAAGATGCTGATACATATAGTGTTAAACTTCCTGATGAAACACAATCATCAGCTCGTCTTAAAGTTCTTGAAACACCTGTTCAAATTCTTGTACCATTAACACTTGAACCAAATGAACCAATACTTGGTAATGAATTTACATTATCTATAACATTAAGTCATGATGTTAAAAACAATGCTAAATGGACAAAAGCTGGTAAAGATTTAACAGCTAAACGTGATACAAGAATTACATTTCAACAAGAACCTGATGTTGATAATCATGGTATTAAATATTCCATGACAGTGAAAAATTCAAAACCAGAAGATGAAGGTACATATCGTTTTGAAGTTGAATCAAGTAAAATTAGTGAATCAAAAATTGTTAAATTAATTGAACCAAAAATTCTTATTGTTAAATGTGATGAAACATTGAACGGTAAAATAGGTTCATCAATAACATTAACATGTGAATTAAATATTCCACAAGGACATGTTGTTTGGTATCATGATGGAATTAAATTAACATCATCAGATGCAACACCATTAAAATCAACTGGTTTAGTTGTTAAAAATACTGACTGTGTACGAACATTAACAATAAATTCATTGAAAAAAGATGATTTTGGTTCATATATAGTTAAAACAAAAGATGATAAACGTGAAATACAAGTTATACAAGCAACAGATGATGATCAATTAAAAGTACTTGAACATCCACCAAAAGTACTTGATCTTGATCAAAATGATCAATTAATACTTACAATTGTTACAAATCGTAAATGTTCAATTGAATTCACTAGAGATGGTAAACCATTACAAACAATAGAAAAATTTGATAAAGATAAATCAAAATATTCAGTTACATTTACTATTGATAAAGTTGATTTTAAAGATGAAGGTATATATAAATCAAATATATCAGGTACAAAATATGAATATCAAACAGAAGTAATGGTACATGATCCATATAAACGACAAAAAACTGATGTTTTAGAATCTGAATTACCATTATTATTTATTAAAAAATTAGAAGATATTAAAGTCAATGAAGGTGATGAAGTTATACTTGATTGTCAAGTTAATCGTCAACCTAAAACAAAACCAACATGGTATCGAAATGAAAAAGAACTTATAATTAATGATAATATTGAAATTATTCAAACAGAAGATAATCATATACAATTAAAAATACGTAAAACATCAATAGATGATCATGCGGAATATACACTTAATGTTGAAAATCTTCGAGGACATGCATTTGTTGATGTGGTAAGATAAAAATATTTCTATTTCTCAAAATCTTAGGAGAGGGGGTTGAGTCTTTGTCTAATTACACGCCTATATTTGATTCATTGTAATAATTTCAATCTGATTTCTTTTTTAGTTGAGTGATCGTGTTCGTTTTACTCAAAAATTATTTGATACCGTTATTAAAGTTGGTAATCCAATTGTTCTTGAATGTAAATTATCTAAACCTGATACACCAATAACATGGAAATGTGATGATCAACCACTTGATAGTAAACTCTGTAGTATTGATGGTCATTTACATACACTTCGTATTCCATCTGCTGAATTGAAACATAGTGGAAAATATTCTGCACATTATAATGATGAAATCAATACATCATGTACAGTATCTGTTCAAACTGAACCTGTTTTTGCTCGTGAATTAATACCTGAAATAACACTTAAAGTTGGTACAAATCTTTTGCTTGATGTTGCAACAACACGTCCAAATAAAACAGTTCGATGGTATCGCAATGGAACATTAATAGCTAAAACAGGTGATACACGTCATCGTTTTGCTGATGATAAATATGATCATTCATTAAAACTTTCGAAAGTAACACAAGAAGATGATAATGATATATTATATGAATGTGAATGTGATAATGTTCGAACAAAATGTCGTGTTTATGTTCAAGTTGAACCATTAGTCTTCTTTAAAGATCTTAAAGATATTAAATATGAATTAAGTGATTGTCTTACATTTATTGTACGAATGAATAAACGTCCATCAAATGATGCACATTGGTTACACAATGGACAACCAATTGAAGTATCAAATCGTATACAAATTTCATATGATGATAAAGAACGTGAAGCTAAATTAATTATTAATGATGCTAATGAAAATGATCAAGGAAAATATATGTATGATGCTATTGAAGCACGTACAAGTTGTACAGCGGATATAAAATTAATTAAAATTGAATTTGTACAAGAATTAAGAAATCGTTCGGTTAAACAAGATCAACCTGTACAATTTGAATGTGAATTAAATAAACCTGCAACAAAAGTTGTTTGGTTATTAAATGGACAAGTTATAAATGATGATGATTCAAGATTTGAATTAACAGCATCATTAGGAAGAAAGAAACATGTATTAAAAATTAAACAAACATTATTATTCGATGCTGGAAATATAACTGTTAAAATTGATGATCAAATTGAATCAACTGCAACACTTGAAGTTAAAGGTATGTGTTTTTTGTTTTAGAAATTAAAATCAAAATTTTCTTTTTTTTGTTTTAGGAATACCAATTGAATTTATTAAAAATTTAACAGGTGCAAGAGTGAATGAAAATGATACGGTCAATTTTATTTGTGAATTAAATAAACCAAATATTCATGTTAAATGGTTTCATGAAGGAGAACCAATTTCAAATGGTATGACTTTTTTGATTTCGAACAAAAATGATTTATTTTTTTCTCTCTCTAGATGAACATTACGAAATTCGTAGTAAAGGAGCTATACATACATTAATCATTCCTAAAGCTGCTTGGAATGATGGTGGAGAATATAAATGTGTAGCTGATGGTGGTGCAAAAACAAGTGCATCATTAGCTATTAAAAGTAAATTGAAATTTTTGTAATTATTTTTAAAATAATTTAATTATTTTCAATTTTTTTTTAGCTACACCTGTAACATTTACAAAACTTCTTGAAGAATGTGTGCGTAATTTTGGTGAATCTGTTGAATTTACTTGTGAAACATCGAAACCATGTCGTGTAGAATGGTTTGTTGGTGATAAACGTCTTTCACCATCACAAATTGATATCCAATCAATTGATAATAAACATACACTTCGTATACCTAAAGTTAAATTAACAGATAAAGGATGGTATAAATGTACTGTCCAAGAAGAATTTACTGAAGCAAAATTAACTGTTATTGATATACCTGTTGAATTAATTGAACCATTAACTGATGTTAATGTACAAGAAAATGAAAATGCCACATTAGTTTGTCAATTATCTAAACCTGATATGGATGTTATTTGGTATCATAATGATCGACGAATATTTTTTACACCACAATCACGTATACGTGCTAAACAAATTGATTGTTACTATAAATTATTATTAGATGATATTGAATATGATGATCAAGGTTTATATGAAATGCGTTGTGAACATATAAAAACATCATGTCATTTAAAAGTTAAAAAAATTGAAACAACATTTATTGATCAATTAAAAAATTTACATGTTAAAGAAGGGGTAGGAAATTTTTTTTATATTTAAATTAGAGATGGGTTTTTATAAATGTATATGTATATATAGAACACAGCACGTTTTCAATGTCGTTTATCAAAATTAAGTTCTAATGTTCAATGGTTTAAAGATGGTGTAAGAATCTTACCAAGTGATCGTGTTGTTTATTCAATCAAAGGTGATCAATTAACATTAACTATTCATAATACACAAATTGAAGATGAAGGAAATTATCGTTGTATGATTGATAATCAACATACAGATGCAACATTAACTGTTGAACGTATGAAGAAAAATTTATTTTAATTATATATTTAATAATATCTATATATTTATCTATTTTAGCATTACCAGCTGTTTTCATTAAATATTTACCTAAAACATGGACTGTCTATGGTGATGAACCATTTGAATTATCATGTCAAATATCAAAACCAAATGTTCGTGTTATTTGGTTAAGAGATGGTATACCAATCGGTGATCAAGGTGAAGCAAAAAATGAAGGTTTACGATATAGTCTTTATATTCCACATAATATTCAAGCTGGTTTATATACAATTCGTATTGATGATGGTCATGGACAAGAAAGTAATTGTCAATTAACAGTTGAAGGTATTTAATAACATTAAGTTTTATTTTTGAAATTTTTATAATTTGTTTTTTCCTTAAATTAGATTATGCTGCAAATGAACGAAAGAAACCACGTATTATTCGTGCACTTGAAGATTTAAATTTACATGAAGGTGATTCACTTGATTTAAATTGTCAATTTGAAGGTGAAGATGTTGAAGCAACATGGTTTTTTAATAGTGTTATGTTACGTTCAAATGTATTTACAACAATTAATTTTAAATCCAATGAATCAGCACAATTAAATATGAAAGAAGTTTATCTTGAAGATGCTGGTTTATATAAATTACGTTTGAAAAATAAATATGGTGAAGTATCAACATCATGTACAGTATCTGTACGTCAACGTGAATCATTAACAGATCAACGAAATAATGAACATTTACCACCAAAGTAAAGACGAAAGAATTTTTTAAATTATTTATTTATTTTTCTTAAATAGATTTATTCAACCAATCTCGGATGTTTATGTACATCAAGGACAAGAAGCAAATTTTCGTGCAATTATATCTGGTCAACCATCACCGAAAGTAACTTGGTATTGTAATTATAAAAAAATTGCTGTAAGTTTCGTTTCGTTTGTTTTTGTTGATCTTATAAACTGTTTTGTAATTCAATAGAATAATGAAAAATATCGTGTTACTCAAGATAAAGATATATATGTATTAGCTATTTTACAAGTTAATGAAAATGATGAATGTGAATATACATGTAAAGCTGAAAATTCAGCTGGTGATAAAACTTGTTCAGCTAATTTACATCTTATTGAAACACCAGCTGGTTCAAAACCATTAACGTATATTAAAAAAATTATTTTTTCTTTCATTTAAAATAAATTTTTTATTTTTATTTATATAGAAGTGAAGATATAGCTCCATCATTTATTCGTAAACTTCGAAATTGTACAGTTATTGAAGGACAACGTGCTAAATTTGATTGTTTTATACATGGTGAACCAAATCCAACAGTACGTTGGTTACATAATGGTTTATTATTAGATACTGAAGCAAATAAAGATAAATATTCATCTCAAATGCAATCAAATGGTAAAGTTATATTAACAATTGAAGATTGTTTACAAGAAGATGCAGGAGAAATAACAATTATTGTTGAAAATCGTGCTGGTTCAACGCAATGTTCAGCTGAATTAACTGTTGAACGTAAATTAAATTATTTGTCATTGTATTTAAATAATCTTATTTATTTATTTATTTATTTAGCTCATCATGAATCAAGTCGGTTAAAACGTCGTGTAAGTTTTGATGTACCAGATTTATCATCTAAAACAAGTAAACAAGGCTCATTACCATTACCACCATCAAGATTATTATTAACACCACATACAAAAACAAGTTTAAATCTAAGTTGGGATCATTCACCATCACATAATCGAACACAACCATGTACTTATATTGTTGAATTAAGAGATCCAAGAACTTATTCTTGGTCAACATATGTATCGTCATTAGCAGGTTAGTTAATAGACTTTTTTCATTATTGAAAAATATTCTACGTGTTTTTTCTTCTATATTTAAAGATACAAGTGTTCAATTACTTTCTCTTAATTTAAATCATATTTATGCTATACGAGTACGTGCTGAAAATGCATTTGGTGTTAGTGATCCATCACAACCTGTTACAAGTCGTCTTTTAACTCGAAGTATGTTTATTTTTTTTTAAATTGATATAAAATAAAATATTTATTTAATTTATTAGCTGATGAACGACATAAAGAAGATGAAGAACCCATTAGTAAAACAAGACGATTACCAAGTTCAACACTTGGCGATTATGGTAATAAAAAAGAGAAGATATAAATAGATTTATATTACTTCTTTTATTTAGGTACTCGACCATCATTACAAGTAGATGGTCCTGATATTCAATATTTTCTTGAGGGTCAAAATGTTCGTATAACAATGCTCCTTGTTGGTTATCCAGTACCTGATATAATTTGGTATCATGATGTAAGAGTTTTTTTTTATCTCAATAATCTTTAATCAATAAATTTTTATTTAGGGTGAAAAAATATCTTCTAATGATACACGTATTAAAGCATTTACTGATCGTCGTGGTTATGCTTATCTTTCAATTGAATCCGCATTAGCATCTGATGAAGGTGCATATGAAATAGTTGCAGAAAATAAATATGGTGCAGCTCGTCATACAGTTTATTTATATCTTGCTGATCCGCCTGTATTTCTTGAACCATTACGAGATGCACGTTGTCGTACACAAGATACACTTCGTCTTGAATGTAAAGTTGATGGTATACCATATCCTGAAGTACGTTTTTATAAAGATTGGCGTTTATTAACTGATTCATATCGTACACGTATACGACATATTGAACCTGATATTTGGCAATTAACAATCTATGGTGTTATTGAAAAAGATACTGGTTTATATACATGTACAGCTAAGAATATTGCTGGTGCAACATTATCATCAGCAAATGTTAGTGTTGAAGATAATCTTTTAAGTATTCCAAGACCAGATTTAGAAAGATCAATAGTAACATTTAAAAAGAAAAGATTTGATGAAGATTATGATATACTTGAAAGAATTGAACAGTAAGAAATTTTTTTTACTATTTAATTAAAAATAAAAATCTGTTTTTGTTTTAGTGGACCTATTTCATCTGTATATAGAGTTATTGAGAGAAGAACAGCAAAAGAACGTATTGCGAAAGTTGTTCATAATCCAAAATATTTTGATTGGTTAAGACGTGAAATGGATATTTTATCACATTTATATGACTCAAATATTCCACGTTTACATGATGCTTATGAAACAGATAAAATGCTTGCAATTGTACTTGATAAGTATGTTTATTTTTATTAAATTTAATTATATTTTATTCCTTTTTTCTTATGATTATAGTATTCCTGGAAATAATCTTCTTGATAATCTTCTATATCGTCGAACATATACAGAACATGATGTTTCTTTAATTATCCGTAATCTTGTTGATACTCTTAAACATTTGCATTCCAGAAATATTGCTCATCTTGATATAAAAGTAAGTTTAAGAAAGAAATAAAATTCGTTTTTTTATTTTATTTTAATTTTTAGCCCGATAATGTTTATATTGATGATCGACATGATCCAATACGTGTACAATTATTAGGTTTTACCAATGCACGTCATTTAACAGGAACAACAAATGTTTATTCTGATTATGGTACACCAGAATATGTTGCACCTGAAATAATTCATCGACAACCAGTTTCACTCAATACGGATATGTGGAATATGTATGTATTTTAATTTCTTTATTTAAATATAAATCTAATTTTCAAATATTTAGTGGTATACTTACTTATCTATTACTTGGTGGTCAAACTCCATTTAGTGGTACAAATGATTTTGAAACATTACAAAATATTCGTAATGGTCATTGGACATTTGGTGATCGTTTTTCAAATATATCACCGGATGCAAAAGATTTTATTTCACGTTTACTTATATCTGATCAACAAAATCGTTTAACATCTGAACAAGCATTAAATCATCCATGGCTTAAATATGCTTTACAACAAATTGATAAAGTTCCACTTTCATCGGATCGTTTACAAGGAGCTTATTCAAGACAACTTTATGATGTAAATTTTAAATATTTATTTTCTATTTAAAATAAAATTTTAATTTTTCTAGCGTGAACATCGACGTACATCAACAAGACCATTACCAACAATTAGTGATATTGCTTCGATGAAAGGTGATATTGGAAGTTATAATGATGAAAAAGAAAGAACTTATGATGATAAATATATTCGTGCCAGAGCTAGACGAATGTCAAGAGGTTAGTTTAAATAAATTCTCATGATAAATATACATGGTTTTATATATAATTTAGAAGTATCAATTGATGATCATGATCATGGAATTCATCATCATCAATCAATTATTGAAGATGAAAATTTAACACCTGGTTCTTATCTTCTTCCAGTACATGATGTTGATTTTGCTATTCGTATGCGTGGTTATCGTCGATCAAGTTATCAAAATCGTTATACATCAACTGATTATCTATATGCACCACCAGTTGCTCCAGTTGAACGTTTACTTGCTCGTGATACAGTTAAAGAACGTCTTCATGTCGATGCTCAAGGACGACGTGTTCGAGGATGTTCTGCCGTACCTCATAGTGGTTGTTCAGCATCACGTGAACTTAGTGTTCAACCAGGTGGTACACGAGGTATATCAGCAACACCATCATTTTATGCACCATATGGACGAACAAGTGAATCACCAGCACATGGTTATGGTTTAACAGCTAAATATGGAAGTATATCACGTTTATCACCACATCCTATTGGTTCAATAGCAGCAGGACATGCACCAAGTATTCCAAGAGAATTTCAAGCACAAGGTTTTACACAACAAGAACAACGTACATCGAGAGGAGGAGGTTAGTGTTTAATAAGAAAATGTTTTTGAAAAATACGTATATGTATATTTTTTTCTAATAGGTTATGCTGCTGTTTTTAAAGAAAAATTAGTTGATACATCATTTTTAATTGGTGGTACTGTTATATTAAGATGTAAAGTTCAAGGAAGTCCATTTCCACGTATATTTTGGTATCGAAATGATGAATTTATTATTGAAGATGATCGTATACAATTTGCTCAAGGTGAAGATGGTCTTTGTACATTAACAATTACACATTGTAAAGCAAGTGATATTGGTATATATCGTTGTGTTGCAAGAAATCTATATGGTGATGCTTCATGTAAAGCACGATTATTAATTGGAGGTAAATTTTATTTTTATTTTATTTAAATAAAATTTTAAAAAATCTTTCTATTTTTCAAGATGTTCCTGATCGACCACAACGTCCAATTGTAATTGATGTCTCATCCAATCAAGCTTATCTTGCCTGGAGTTCACCATTATATGATGGTAATAATGAAATAAATGGTTTCCGTGTTGATTATAAAGCACGTGAAGATCTTAAATGGACACAATCAACATTTACAATTGAAGAATCCGCATTAATAAGTGATTTAAAACCATCAACACATTATCGTTTTCGTGTATCATGTATAAATCGTATGGGTATATCAGCATATTCATGGGCATCCGAAGAAATTCGTACACTTGATGAAAATACTGAAAATAATTTATTATTAGCAAAAATGGATCGTTCATCAACATATCGTTTACTTGAACATCAACATCGTTTAGATGAAAAATCTTCCATTTCAATTGATAATGTTTTACATGATTATGATAAACAAGATAAATTTAAAAGTTTAGGTGAAAATACAGTCTTAAAACGTGATCAAAATCCATGGGATTTATATAAATTAATTGATGAATTAAGTAGTTATGGTCGTACATGTGTAATACGTTGTTCGGAACGTGCAACAGATAGTATACGTATTATAAAAATAACTGATAAACAAGATAATGAAACAGAAGAATTTAATTTATTAAATCTTATATCACATGAACATATAATAACAATGTTAGATGCATTTATATGGAAACATTCATTTATATTAGTTACAAATGATTATATTGAATTATGTGATTGGATTTGTTTAAGACATAAATATAATGAAGAATTAGTTGTTAAAATCTTACGACAAATATTAAATGCAATACATTATTTACATTTTCATGGTATTATACATTTAAATATCAATCCATCAAGTGTTGTTAATGAAAATCGTCTTGCTGTACATATTAAATTAACGGATTTTAGTTGTGCACAACAAATAGCAACTATTGATGGACATAATATCAATAAAGAAAATATACAACCAAATAAAGAATATACAGGTAATAAATTTTTAATTAAGAAAAATATTTTTTTAAAATATTCTGTTTTTCAAGCACCTGAAGTACTTCAAGATGAACCATGTGGTGTTCAAGCTGATGTATGGAGTATTGGAGCATTAACAGCGACGCTGTAAGAATTAATAAATAAAAATTTTATATGTATATTTAATAAAATCGGTTTTTTTTTAGTTTAAGTGGATTTTCACCGTTTGTTGGTGAGAATAATGAAGAAATAATTCAAAATGTGACGTTTGTACGATGGGATACAAATGAATTTTATGATGATGTAACACAAGAAGCTGTTATTTTTGTACAACAGTGTCTTAAAAAATCACCCAAGTAAAGATAAATATAAAACAAAAATCCTTAATTCTATATTTTCTTATTTTAGAAATCGTTTAACTATTCCGGCTTGTATTGAACATAAATGGCTTTCACTAGCAAGTGGAGCAACCAATCGTCGTGAAAATGCCATATTTTTAACTGAAAAACTTCGAAGATTTGCACATGATTTTCGACAACGTTGTCGATCACATACCGAAATACAACAAGACACAATTATTGAAATATCAAAACGATAAATAAAACATAGAAAAATATTTTATCATATTTTCTTTTCTCTCATTTTTTTTGTTTTTTTTTTCTCATTTTTGTTACCCATCAAACCTAACTTCTTCATCTCATTCAATTGTTAGTGTCATTTTCTCATTATCTCAAAGTCAAAATCAATGAAAAGAATAATTTGGTAAATCGACGAGATTAACAAAAAAGAAAAGAACGAAGAAAAACATGAAGATTGACGAACCACGGATGGATTTTCTTCACTTTTTTTTAACTCGACGATTTTTATATCAATTTGTTTTTTGTTCAATATATGAGAATTGATCAAATATTGTTGAGGTGATTAAGATATATATTTATTTAGGATGATTTATTTGCTCCAAGAGTTTCTTTCGTTTTTTTTTAAATTTCTCAATCGAACTGCTTTTTTGCTTTGTGTTGTGTCATTTTATTTTATCTTATTCAACTTGTTTTTTTCTTTTTCTTCATGTGCTTGACAATTTCTTTTTTTCATTGAAAATAATAAATTCAAGCAATGTCATGGCTTACATATAAAACGTCTTTATATCATTTTATATGAAATATTACATACAAATAATATAGCATTAGTTTTTCTTCTCTTTCGGGTTAATTAGCTTTTGAAGGACATGAAAATAATATTTTATCGTTGATAGATTCGTGTCATAGATCTGATTATAGATGTAGTATATACTAGTTTAACGGTAAAGTATTTCCTACTCCTATCAGTAGATATCTAGCGTCATTTCTTTATTTTGTCTGGAATATTATTCTATATCTATTAAATCAGATGTATCGTTCGTACGTTAATTACTCAAGCAAAAAGAAACGCTAGGGTTGGAAAGACATTGACAACGTCATCAGAACTGAAATATGAATATCTAGGGTTCCATTATAAATAACATCATTCTGAAATACTATTTTATATCAAATTTGAAGGATAGGTTAAATAATTATTAAAAAGTACACTATTTCAAATTTGAGATTGTTCCGGTCAATCTTTTAGTAGAGAGAAAAATCATTTAAAGTAATCTCTTCTATTGGCCTTTTTATAATACAAACATTGTTAGATCAAATAGATATAGCAAATCATCACAAACAAAATCAAGAGTAATTTGACGATCTATTGAGTATTTTCCATTATTATCTAAAGTGCTTCTTCGGAAGATTATTGTATTCTGTTGAGATGCAGCGAATGATGCTCAGTCATATTACTGAATTTTTACTAAAATGAAGTACTGCATCACTTTCCAAATATAATCTTACGTCAAATTTGAGATAAAGATTTGGATTAAGATAAAAATCACTTGATCAGTAGCACATTAGAATATGAGTAGGAATTAATGAAAATCTATTTGGTAAAAAGTAAATCTAACTCATATAATTGAAGTATTCTTTGATTTCGATCCACATGATATATTTTAGTAAACTTAAAAATTGCAAGATTTCTAATCTTCTAAACTACAAAAAACTCAATCTAAATTTCACAATTGTTACTTTAGGTAATAATTGTTTAAACACATTGATGTATCTATAAAGTACTCATATAAAAACAATATATAAATCATCTAATGAACAATGGTGTAGACACAGAAACTTTTTTTTTTCTTTTCTGAGATAACATTCAAGTGTTCTGTTTTTTTTTACAACAGAACAAAGAACGATGAGGAAAGGAAAAACGAGACATACATACTATTAACGTTTTATGCAGGAAAGAAAGAAAGAAAAAAGAGAACGATGACACGCAATCGTTGATCATTAAAAGAACGCTTTTTTTTCGTTCTGTTCTTTGTACTATTTTGTAGGAAAAATAGAAGTTTGACAGTAGTGGGATTCGAACCCACGCCACAAGTGACCAGTACCTGAAACTGGCGCCTTAGACCGCTCGGCCATACTGTCTCTATGGCTCAAATGAAATAAACTTATACAAGACTTACATAATATTGTTACAATAATACTCAATATTGTTTATCGATTCTTGACTCTTGTATTTATTTGTTGATATATATATACATACCATTCATAGTTTCATGTATAGCATATTTGATAAGAGTATTTAGAATGTTAAAATTTTTAATAAACATATATATAAATATATAATATAGGAATTAATATTAAAATACAAATGTAACATGTTTCATTTGAATACTGACCTATTCAATTACTTAGGGTGATAAATAAATAAACATGTATTGCATTATTATTATTTCTTCTTTCTTTTTACTACTAGTTTCATCTTTATGACTAAGTAATCTTTATGCAATACAATGGGACATCTATCAAACCCACATTTGAGCACATTCATTATTTATATAAAAGTTGCATAGACTAATACAACAGAATATTACCATCAAATGAATTAGCGACATAATTGATAAAAACAAAGGATATTTGTATATGTATTTACATTTTGTATTCAATCTTCGAAATCATTCACATACTAACAGTTTTTAGCTGAGACAGTGCAAAAAATGAATATTTCAGTTACAATATGTGACTTCAATCTTTGATTTATATATTCAAAAATTTACATAAACAATTCACAGCTGTTGTTGATGTTTTGAATATATGGTTCGATGTTGAATTCGAACTTTAATCAAGTATAAACAAACTTGATAAGCTTTTCTATGAATTTATATATGAGATATTGAAAATGACTAATAACAATATAGTGTTTATTAATATCAGTGACCTTGGAAGTATCATGGTATATTTTTTTGTATATATTTATATTATGATGTCAAACAGAGATATAATCACTTTTTGACATATTATTTGTTACTCTAACTGTTGTAACAAGTTAGATGAGTTAATATATATATATATATTGTGAATATTTAAGCAAAAGGACATTGAGTACACTTGACATTATCATCAATAGGGAGAGTGAACAAGATAAATCTTTGGACTTTCATACACAGCTGCTTTTTTTATGTGAGCTATAATCTGAATACAATCTTTTCTTTTTTTTCAAGATTAAACACGTACTGTATAAGTTTTATTTCTCTACCGTTATCTCATCAATTGCGTTGTTAATGACATAATAGGAAATCTTAATCTTAGATACTGAAAACCAAACAGTAAATGTATATATTACTATATTGATCAGTCAGTGTATACATTTCATATATGAAATATATTAATAAAAATATGCTATCTTTAATTTAATATAATTTTTTGAGCTAATTGTTTATTCTATAAGTACACATCAATAATATAATTTAAATATTCAAATAAGTCTTGATGGGAATATAACAAACAAAATATAAATTATATACACAAAGGCTATGCACGTACATACTAAAAGCGGAAAAATACTCATAAATAAAAATATGTGCAATGGAAATTCCTTGAACTAATTAGATTTATTATTAGCAGTTATAAATAATATAACTTCCGCTAAGAAACCTACTAAGATAAGACATGATTGATCAATTTATACAAAAGTATCTGGTTACGATCTGTTCAAGATTATGATTATTATTAACATCTCACTAAGTGCTTAGAAATATATATGATATCAAATCATAAAATAATTTCAGAATATTATATTAAAACAATAATAAGAATTTTATTCAAATTATAGGGGATGTCAATGTCAAATAAATACTATGTCTTTTCTGCTTATCAAATTGCTATAATCAAGAAAAAGTAATGATGTATGTACATTGAGTGCAAAAATAAAGAATACATAAAGTGTACTTATAATAAAAATAAAAAGTCCAAAATATTTTTTATATTCTATATTATTGTCAGGGTGTTCTTTAGTAATAGTCATAAACAAAAAAACACTTACAAAAAGTCGTTATCAAAGAGTATATCAGAACAAAAAACATCGGTTATCTCGTAATGAAACAAACCAAACCTTTTTTTTTTATATTAAAAAGATAATGCGGTTTTGATAAATAACGAAAAAATTGTGATTATAGACGTACGAAATCATGCTGAGTTGATAATATGTTCGAAATAAATTCATACAATCTTTATTCTAAAATCTCATTTCATCGAGAATGTCTTTTATATGATGATGTTGTAGAATCATGAGATTGCATTTTACAGAAAAGGAAAACCTTGACATAAAAGGAACGGAGCAATGACTCAATTTATTGTTAGAATACATCAACAGAAAATAGCACAAGGACAAGAACACCACTCTCTTCTCTTCGTTCTTGAGTAGTAAATAATATAGTAGTTCTTTACATTTTCTTTTTCTAGATATATATATATATCATGCATTGTCGACGTGATGATTAAAGATTTATTTTTTCTCAGCTGGTAGCAAACAACTTTCAGCTTTTTATCAGAGAAGAAATGATAGAAGAAGAAGGAACATAAACATGTGACTAAAGAAAAGAAGAAAAAAAAATCGGTGGATACTCATTTTTTTTTAATTTCATCCATTGTCAGTGTTTTGAAGGTATTGTACAAATAGGAACAATGGAGTTTGATGATTTTTATGAAACAGTTGGTGTATTTGGTCTATATCAAAAGACTAAATATTTCTTATTATGTTTTACAAATATGCTTCCACCAGTTATGGTCTATGCCTGGACATTCATAGCTGCTACACCATCATTTCGTTGTCGAATATCATCTGATAATTTATATTCATTGAATTCTACAAATAATCTTTTAACTTCATTCATTCCTACTCCAGATCAATGTTTTGCATATCAAAAAACAATTTCTTTAAAAGAATGTCAACGATGCTTTCAATTTGTAAACACTAATAATGATGATGGTACTATTGGAGCATTAAATCCATGTCGAAGTTATATTTTTGATCAAACTTATTATCAATCCACATTGGTTGAAGATGTAAGTTGATTTTCGACCCTACTGATAAAAGTATAGAGTATGAAAGGTTATTCAAATATTTAAAATTTAAACTTTGTGACCGTTCTGTTTTATCGATTCTTGTACTTTCATAAGAAAATTAATAGTAGATTATATATTAGAAAAACCAGTTCATTCATAATGAGAGTAATTCTTCTAGTGGTCAATGGTATGCGATCGATTATCATTAAAAAGTACTGTTCAAGTTGTATTCTTCGGTGGCTATATGGTTGGTTCACTTCTTTTTGGTATTCTTGCAGACAAGTACATCAATAATTTGTTTTTTCTTCTTTTATTGTTTTCGAAAATTATTTTTTTGAAGATATGGTCGACGACCTATTATGGGTGCTTCGTTTCTATTAATGTTTATTGCTGGTATTATATGTGCATTAGCACCAGAAGAATTAATTGGTAAGGGAACAAGTTATCCAGTTTTTGCACTTGGAAGATTTTTACTTGCTTGTGCAACACGTGGTATTGCTGTTACTGGTTTTGTTATGGGTAAATATTTTTATCAGTCATAATATTGAATGAATATATATTTTTTATATTTTAGGTTCGGAATTAGGCGGAGCGAAACAACGTCTATTTTCTGGTATTGTTATAAAATATTTCTTTGCATTTGGTGAATTATTATTACTGGGTCTTGCTTTAACAATTCGAACATGGAGAACATTAAATGCAGTACTTGCTGTTGTTCCTGTACCTTTTATCTTTTTTTACTTGTTGGTCTTCATTTCTTTTTTCTTCTTTCTATTTTATTTATTATTAATTTTAGTATTTTACCTGAAAGTCCTCGTTGGCTTATTTCTGAACAACGTTATGATGAAGCTGAATTACTTTTTCATCGAATTGCTGATAGAAATAAAAAGAATTTTGATCCAGCACTTTATAAACAATTTGTTAATGACGATAAAAAGGTTTAGAAAAAAAAAATCTTAATTGAATAATTAAATTATTCTGTACTTTTGTAATAGAGAGTTGCGGCTACTAAAGGTCAAAATAATGGATTTAAAGCAATATTTCGTTCGAAAGTAATGGCTATCATTGCATTAAATATGTCTTATCAATGGTAATAATCATAAAGTTCTCTTTTTTTACAATACTATTCAATATTTATTAGGTTTGTACAAAATCTTGTTTTTTATGGTATATCACAAAATACGGGTAAGTACATTTATTGAAATCTATAAATAATATTTTGAAATTTTTGATTATTTAAGGCGCATGGTTACAAAATCCTTATATCTCATTTGGAGCTAGTGCTGTTGTTGAAATAGTAGCATATATTGTCGTACATCTTGTTCTTGATCGATGGGGCCGGAAATTACCATACTGTTTATTTGTTATAGCACTTGCATTTGTTGCATTACTTGTTGTACCTATTCAAATGTTATTACCAAAAGAAAGCAGAAGTATTTAATATTTATTTTTAAATATTATTTTATCTTATTTTATTTTAGGTCAATATGTTCTTATGTTTATGGTGAATATTGCCCTGAAATTTCTTGCTTCAGGTTCATATGTAATTATTTATATATATGCAAATGAAACATTTCCAACACATGGTCGAAATACAGGAATGGGTGTATGTTCAATGATTTCTCGTCTTGGTGCAATTATTGGAACATTTTCTAATGATCATCTGGTATGTATATACATAATTATATAATATTTGTCTTGTTATGAATTATTTTAGACTCGAGCATGGCCACATACTCCAATAGTTGTCTATGGAGCAACGTCTGTAGTTGCTATGTTACTTGCTACAATCTTTCCTGAAACATTAAATAAACCATTACCACAAACAATTACAGATGTTGAAAGAATGGGACTTGCTTGGTAAAATTAATTAAAATGTATATTTTTATTGATTTATCCTTCTGTTTATAGTTCATTTGGACGATTGAAAACAAAAAGAAATGTATATGTTGATGATTCAAATCAAATTGGCAAAGACTCATTGTCAAAAACAAATTTGAAAGAAGATGTTGACTTTTAATTTAGTTTTTAGTACTTTTTTTTTTTGTTATTTCAAAGTTATATTTGTAACTTTAATTTTTATTATATTTTCTCGTGCTACTTTAGGAAATATATTCATGTGTAACTGAATATGTAAATTGGTGATGGGATATGTGAAGAGAGCGTCGTCTTTTTTTTTACTTGTTTGTGAACATTCATAATTACTGTATTTTTGATAAAAGAATCATAGCTATCAAAATAAAAAATAATTATTTAGAATAATTTTACGAAAAAAAAAATCATATGTTTGTTATCTTGTTTCATGATATAAGTGCATGAGAAAATATAACAGGTTATAGAAGATTAGATTTGTTCATTGTGGTTGTACGATGAGTTTTTTTCAATGAAGTTGTTTGATCTCATTTTTGTTCGTATATGAGGATAAGTTATTTAATGTACAATTAGGAAATAAATTATGAAAAATCGAGAATTTTTAGAAGAATCAAGTGAATTCCTACGTGTATTATTAAAATGAATGATATTTTGTCACAATTCAGTTGAGATTTGTGTAGATTATATTTCAAAGAAAAGTAAACACTCTGTTTGATAGCGTTTCTTTTATCAGCTATTTTTAAGTATACTAATCCAGGGATCAAATTGAATCGGGTTTGATCCATCTTTAAAAAAAACAAGTTTCACTAGGGTTACATTACTTTTACTTAATAACGAATAGATCAAAGGTGAAAATTTTAGTTGCACAATAATCAGGTGTGTCATATGAGGACTCATGTCTATATCAGTTAACCTTCATAAGTGCATTTGTAGATATTATGATATTTACATTCGTGTTGTTTTTTGTCTTTTCTATATACATATATACGTGTATTATTATGTCTAAGCGGTTAGCACAAAGACAAGGAGAAATAGATGTTTTTGTTCTTGTTCTCTTACGTCCACAAAAATTCCACTTTCAGAAAAATTGAAAAAACTTATCAGAGAAAAATAAAAGAATTAAATTGCATAAAAATGATTCATAATAATCAATACAATCAACAAAAATTCGTTTTTAATCTCCGTACTGTTTACTCGGTTTTACAACGTCTGTAGCAATAGAATTTTATAAATCAATTTTTGTTCGTGAAATTCATTGTTGAGTGGATAATGATAATCAATGCGGAACGAATCAAGAGAAATAGAAAAATCTACTCTATCATTTCATTTGAGAGACTGAGTAAATGTATAAAGTATCTATCGTGTCATCTAAAAAAAATTATCATTTCTATATATAATATTCCATTCATTCATTCATAAATTTAAGTAGATTAGAAAAAGTCCTAGTATTTATAAAATACGACGACAGACGTATCGTTCATCCCATTTATCAAGCTAAAATATTGAAATTGTAGTGCCAAATTTTATATATTTCGATTGAGAAGATTCTTCGATCTTGTACGATATAAGTTGACCAAGGACTATGGCATATACACTGTATTAAATATTGGTAACTGCCAAGGAAGTTATTTTGAAGTATTTTTATATTTATTTGATAAATTTCGGCGACTAAAACATACTTTAAAAATAAACCAACTTAATCTCTATTATTAGCTTTGTCAATATGTTTTTTCGCTGAATCTTGGTAATTCCAATTTGATTTGCCTTCGATAAATACGTGTTGAGGTTGTGGGTGTGTCGATAGATTGAAGGACATTTTTTTTGAGAATCAAGCAGATGGATTTTTCTTTATCCTCAGACAGTATAAAATGTCTGGATTATTTTTATCTAAATATTAGTTATCTCTTGTTTGCAGTTGGAATAGAATTAACCTGTGACGATAATTTTAGTGATAGCAAACCATTACTTTCAACGAGTATTTATTTAGTTGATAAACATATATCTCTCATTTTAATTATTAACTTGAGAAAACTATCATTGAATGAGTAAACTTCGTCTGATTAAATAAGTTATAAGAAGATATGAGTTATAATTTTAAATTGATCTCGTTCTCTTCATAACTAGTCTAAAATATTAATTAAATATATCGTATTATCTCTATTTTTTCTAGAAATAAAACACAAACAACAACATCATACAACATGAGTGTAAGTCTTTGCACTATTTTTTAAAGAGTAACAAACTAATATTTTGTTCTATAGGATTCAGGATCAGGTCGCAATACTCCAGTAGGTGTTCCACCGAAAGATGAACCAAAAACGTGTACAACTTATTCAAAATCAGTAAGTTTATAACATTATACAGTATACTCCACAATATTATAATATTAATTAGATAAAACTTGTTTATTATCGATCGACGTTTATTGCTTATCGACGAAGTTTACCAAGCATGTACATATTGAACAATGAATGACAACGTTTTCATATTATTATATTCCAAAATAAATATACATACTCAATTAAATCATTTAATAAAGAAACGAAAAACAAAATAACTTTTTTTATCTATTAGATGTTCATGACATGTGTCTGAACATTGAACTTCAATAATGCTAAATGTGAAAAATTTTCTTTTTGAATAGGCTACAGAACTAACATTCAAGAAGATGATATACTCTCAATAGGGAGAGATTATTAGAATCTTTTATACAATTGACGTTCATTTTCAGGGTTAATACCGTTATTTTCTTGAGAATTTCAATTTCTCTGAAATATTATAGTATATCTTCATAAAAACAAACCACATACCCTTGAGTAATCTATTGATTATGCTGATTTTGATAATAGAGCTTTTTTCTTTAAAACGACGAACATAATTAAATAAAATATAATAGTGCAATCAAATATATGATGTCCAATTTTCTTGTCAACAAAAATACGAAATTTCCAACATATAATACCTAGTGCACTATCGAGTAAAAATATTTACTCTTCTTTCACAAAAAATAAAATCGATTCTCATACTTGCATATAATTGACAATACATCAGTAATTTCTTATTCAATACCTTTGGACTCTTTCGATACAAATAAGTTCTTATTTTATATTTTTTTGTTCTAAATATTTTGATTAAATCATTGTGTCATTATTCTAATCAACATTATAATGAATGTGACCAATTTATTTTTATACTTTTTAGACAGTTTTACTACAATTTGTGTTGTGTATATGTCTAAAGCAAGTAGAAATAATGTTAACAGTATATTTTTCGCATGGCTTATGTTCATTAAAACTTAAAAGACTCTTTTCACGAACAAACCTTGAATATCACTGCAAAGAGTCTTATTTAATCAACTGTAAATTTTTATTTCCTTGCTTACTGCACTGAATCATAATATCAAGTATATTTACCGAAGTAAATCGGTTAATGTACTTCTTCTGATTCATTCAAAAGGAAAAAAATGTATGCGATTATAAATGCTTCACTGTAATGATATAAATAGTACAACTGTTCTTATATTTTTTAGTTAAAAGAACATTTAACTATCATCGTACAAACAGGGATGCAAAAGTGACTAAAATCGGTTCATCGATAGCTGTGGATGCGCGATTGTAATGAATATGACGCTCATATATACCATCTTAATGTATCTTTTTCAGTTGAAGAAGTCACTTTAAGTAGTTAATATTGATAAATACCGGTTCAATTAGCTTTTATTTAATCGGTTCAGCCGGTATAACACTTAATTATTGTTATCGTTACATTCTTAACTTATGATTTTACTTATATACAGTTTTATAAATGCTTTAATGATTTAGAACTTGTCATAGAATATATCTGTTATTTTTTGTTTGTTCTAAGTGAAGTACATCATATTGAAAATTATTTTATGTTAATTCAGAAAAGAAAATCTTCAGTTCATCTTGATATTTCCTACTTTCTAATCATATATTTTAAATTATATGCATGATATACAAAAACGGAAGTGTAAAAAAAAGACATATTGAGAAATTAATCGAACGGAAGTTTTTATGACTACAATATCATGATTTATTAATTATATTTCTATTTATTTTTCATAATTTTTACGGAAAAAAATATATGCTTTATAATTTTTAATGTCAATCATCTGATAGATACTATCATACATATACAAATAAATAAATCTTTTTCTGTTCTTTTCTTTCAAATTGTATTATTGTGGAAACAATACGTCTTGTATTTCATATCATTATTTTTAACATAATAAATCTTATAAAACTCTATTCATTAAAGAACAGACGTATGCACTTACAAAAGTTTTAATAAGGACCTTAAATATTTTATCTTTTTATGAATACTATCTTTAATTTTATATGCAAATGATCAATGAAATATTTGAATAAATTACGGAAAGAATATGATTTATTTTGTTTTTTAATCAAAGTTAGACCTTGTAAAAAAAATAACAAATGACGCACCTATTATATCTGTAATCAAAATTAACGATTCAGTCAATTGATTATCATATACATATATATCAAATATTCCCATCTGTGACCGATCTGTTCTATTTTTTTCAACTTCTTCTTTTTTTTTTTCGTTGCAAACATTACTGAAAAACCAAAGAAAAATTGGTTTATTCTATTGCCAAGTATTGTTATTTAACAATGATTATTTTCTTTCTTCTTCTATTTGCTACTTTGATGAATAATTTCTCATCAATTCAAATTCAACCAACAATAAAACAATTTCAAGTATTTTTTTTTCTAAATTAAAACATTAATTTTATCTTATTTATTTGAATTCTAGGTAATGGAAAATTGTCCAAACGGTACAATAGTTGGTTTAATTCCAACATATTCATCGAATCATCGAATGATTTTACTTGATGATGCTCATGGTCGTTTTATTATTAATTCAAAAGGTGAAATAATTGTAAGTGTCTTTATTTTATTCTTTTTCGTAAACTATAATTCTAAATACTATATAATAATTTGGACGGAATTATATATTTTTCTTTTCTGAATTTCTATGTATCAAAAAAAAAGAAGAAGAAGAAGAAGAAGAAGAAAAGAACAAAAAAAAAAGAAAACACGAAAAATTGTCTTTCTATGCGCATTTAACATTTCACCGTATTGTTAGAAAGCCACATCCGAATATCTCGTCCTATTGTATTCATCCACCGGATATTAGCTTTTATTTTTTCAATAGATGATTGAAAAGCACGTTCGGCTGTTGATAAATCTTTTGTTTCAGCCATGAATTTTTCAATAATATTTAATTCATTTTGTGTATTAACATTTTGTAGTACACCTTCAATAATATTTGATAATGTAAAACTTAATCCACCTAATTTTGAAACTAATTCCGACCAACGTTGACTAACAAAACGCCATGTTAAATTTTGCCCACCTAATTGTAAACTAATACGATTAATAAATGTTGGTGAATCTTGTAAACGTATATAATCATTACTTAATGTTTCATTAAGTAATTGTTCAAGTAATGTAAAATTTCTTGTACATGTTAATGCAAAACCATAACGACTTTTTTCAATTTGATCATTTGTTTCTTTATATTGTTCTTGTATAAATCTATAATCATCGACAGTACCATTTTTAATACCTTGACAATAGACAGTTATACGAAAATCAGGATTTATTGAATGTATTACTGGATTTAAACGCCATTGTTTATATTGTAATATAGCTTCATTAATACATGGTTCATAATCATTTGAACATAAATCACTTATAACAAGTGAACGTAATTGACGAGATAAATAATCTGATGAACTTAATCCTATTGACCATCCAAGTGTACGATATGCTGGTTCTTCAACAGTACGAATATATTGTTGTAATTGTTTATATTCTGTACTATTTTCATTTTGTGCAAACATAAGTAATGGATATTGTATAGTTATTGCAAATGTTGAAAATGGGATATAATTTAATTCCCGACATAAATATGTTGATAATTCTAATGGAATATTTATATCTAAATCTCTTGCACGTGCTAAACTAAATGAATCATCAATTAATTGTGCACGTGATACAGGTGGAAATTGTGAATTATTGATTTTTAAACCATTGATGATTAAATTCCAATTTTGTTTATCATAATTAACACGATAAAAACCAAATTGATTGACATTAAATATAATCCAGTTATTTGATGTTTCAATATTTTCTAATTCATATGTTTTATTTGGTGGTAACCAATGAAATGCTGAGAATTTTGTATTACTCATATAATCATAGGGTATATACCATTGAAATTCTAATGGTTTAAATGGATTCAAATAATTTGATGTATTATTTAAACCATTTGGATCAAGTAGAAAACGTTTTTGTTTAAGTGTTATACGATTTGTTGAATAATTACGTGTTACAATTAATATTGGATAACCTTCTTGTAATGTCCATGTATCCATTATTGTTTTTATTGTATAACCAGATAATTGATTTGGATTGGTAACATTTGTTAAAAATGACCATAATTCATCTTGGACAGCATTACTATATTTAAAATGATCTAAATAATTACTTATACCTTGAAAAAAGATTGTTTCATTTAAAACTGTATAGATCATACGAAGAATTGATGCACCTTTATCATCTAAATAAATAAATAAATAAATAAATAGATTTAATAGAAATAAAAACGTTAATGATATTCACATGATATTGAATCAAATATTGAATTAATTTCATCCGGATGTGTTACTTCAACACTTATTGGATGACTTGAATAAAGACTATCCATAAGAAGTGCACGTTGGACAGTTGCTAAACAAATAATAATCAGAATTATATATTTATGCATATTATTTTTATATTACTTGTAACAAATATGCTTAATGCTTGAAATTCTGGATTAACATTATTAAGACCAAGTATTTCTACCCAAGATGCAAAACCTTCATTTAACCTTCAAAAAGATAATATTTTAAAAAAAAAAATTTTTATATAAAAATTCTATTTTTAATTACCAAATATCATTCCACCATTTTGGTGTCACAATATTTCCAAACCATTGATGAGCAACTTCATGTGAAACAACTTCACCAACACGAAGTTTAGTTGCTAAATTACCTGTTTCATTATTATGAAGTAATGCTGTTTCACGATATGTTATTAAACCCCAATTTTCCATAGCACCTAATAGAATGAATAAATAATTCTATTGAAATATAAAAATCTGTTTGTTATTTACCAGCTGAAAAATCTGGTATTGCAAAATGATCACATTTACTTAATGGATAAGGTACATTATATGATTGTTCAAAATAAGTAATAACATGTGTTCCAACATGTAAAGCAAAATCTCCTTCACCTTTACTCATTGCTTCTTGTCGTCCACAAACACTAACACGTATATTATTTATTGTCATATTCGTTATACATTGAAAATCAGTTAAAACAAATGCAACAAGATATGTTGACATTGGTGGTGTTTGTTCAAAACGTGATAATAAACGACCATTTGATAGGACTTCTGGTTGATTATTATTTAACATTTCACCATTAGATCGTACAACTGTAAAACTGTCATCATAAGTTATTGATATTGTAAAATTTGCTTTAAATAAGGGTTCATCAAAACAAGGAAATACTCGTCGAGCAATAGTGGGCTAGAACGAAAAAAAAATTTCTTTATATAAAGTTTTGATAAAAAAATATGATTTACCTGCATATGTGTTGTACCAATATTATGGGTAATAACTTCTCCTGTTTTTGGATCAGTAACATTATATCTACTTAAATAAAATCCAGCCATTTCTCTATCTAATTCAGCTGAATATTCCGAATGAAATTCATATTCTTGACCTTCAATACAACGTTCTCTTAATCGACATATAATAGTTTCTGATGTTAACATTGGTTTCCAATCACTAATAAGATTATTATTTGTTCCAAGACGTTTTAATATAACATATGATATACGTAATTGTTTTGCATGTATACGAAGTTCATTTGTTGAACGTGCACAACGCATACGTATTTGTGTATAACCTGAAAATGTTGTATTTGGTTCTTGATTATTTGGATATGTTGAACGTAATTGAACATCAAAATCAAGTTTATATGTTGATGGAAACCAATCAAGTGGAAGACGAATTGCTACTGTTCGATTTAAAAACCATTCTTCTAAATTTGGTTTTGATTTACTAACCCATTGAATATTTGCACGTATACGTTCTATCGATGCTTTAAATTCTGATTCAATTGCATTCTATTAAAATAAAACAAAAAAAAATTAATATGACTAATTAATAATAACAAATAGAATAAACTTTATCAGTTATCTGTTCAGCAAATCTTTCAAATTCTTCTAATTGTGATAATGTATTAAATCTTTTTGTTGTATCTTTAATTAAATCAGCAAAACTAAGTGAACCACTATAATCACGATATAATTGTGTCCATCGTGCACGTAAAAATGTCCAACATTCAATTTCAGCAATTAAATTTCGACATATTGAACGTATACCATTTAAAACATCTTGTCCACGTATGATATTTCGTTCTGAATTTATATGTATATCAAGTAGATGTCGAATTAATTCTATATCACGTGTACATGTTAATGCTAATTGTATACGTGCTTTTTCTTGTGGATCATGTGATGTTTGATATTGTCGAAGAAGAAATTGAAATCTTGCTCGATCACCTAATCTTATACTTGTACAATAAACAACACGTCGTTGATTAGCAGCAATTGTATTATTTAATGGTGAATTAAACCATTCTTCAAATAATTCTTGTGCACGTTGTGTACAATGATCAAGATCATATTGACATGCTGTTGATATAACCATATCACGATGAAGTGTATCTAACCATTTATCTGTTAATGGTTTATCTTGCCAACCAAGTTTATTATAAATAGGTAAAACAAGATCAACCATATATGAACGAAAACGTTCATATAAATATAAACCTTCACTACTCGCTGCAATCATTTCTTCGATATATTGAAGATTAGAAAGAATACGTTCCCAAACAACATAGGATTGTTCAAAATGACTATATTCAAGTAATTCAAAAACAAGTGATGTCGGAAGAATATCTAAAAAAACAAAGAATTTCTATCAATAATAATAACAATTAATTATTCTTACTTGCACGTGCTAAATTAAGTGCATCATCAACAAGACCAGCACGTTCAATAACAGAAAATTTTTGATGATCAGTTTTTAATTGTTGAATAAGTCTTTTCCAATTTTCACGATCATAATTTGTTCGAAAAAATCCTAATAAATCAGGATTAGCTAATATCCATTCATTTGAATTCATATTTATTGTCATATTCATTTGTTTTTTTGAAAACCATATTATATCTGTTGATAATGTTGATAATGATTTAATTTTCAATGGTATTGACCATTTATAATTATATAAAGATTTCGATGGTTGAGCATCAGAATCAAATAAAAATTGTTGTTGACTTATTTTTATTATATTTTGATCATATTCACGTTGTATTTCAACATATGGATAACCCATTTGATCCGTCCATGTACTCATTATATCAGCAAGTGTTGTATTTAATGGTAACGGAATTTTATCTTCAAACATTTGTTGACCTAATGCTTGCCATAGATCATTTTGTGTAGCAATTGAATATAAATGTTGTGATAAATATCTTGATATACCACGTGTAAATGTATTATTACCCATAAAATTTCTCATCATACGTAATAATGATGAACCTTTTGAATATGTTATTGCATCAAATATTCCTGTTAATTGATCATTATTTGTTATTTTCATATTAACAGGATGTGAAAATGATATTGCATCATTTTGCATAACTGTTAACCAACGTTGAGCTATAAATTGATCATATAAATCCCATTCGGGATGGATTTTATCTGTATTAACAAATTCCATCCATTTAGCAAAACCTTCATTTAACCATAAATCATCCCATGTCGCTGGTGAGACAAGATCACCAAACCATTGATGTGCTAACTAAAAATAATAAATAATTTCTAGACAAAAAAATTAATTTTTTTTTCAAACAAACTTCATGAGCAATAACTAATGCAACTTGTTGTTTATTCGATGCTGTTGATGTATGATTATTATAAAAAAGTCGTGTTTCACGATATGTAATACATCCAAAATTTTCCATCGCACCTATTTAAATAAAAAAAAATTTTGAATAGTAATAAAATGTTTTTTTTTGTATTGTATTTACCTGCACCAAAATCTGGTACAGCAATATGATCAATTTTTGCTAGAGGATAATTAACTTTATGTAATTCTTCAAAATCTTTCAAACTTTTTGTTGCTATGTCAAGTGCATAATATAAATCCGCTTTTTTTTCTGGTTGTGCACAAACATTTGTTGTTATATTACTATAACGACCTGTATAATTTTCTGTTAAACATTCAAAATCTGCTATAATAAGTGCTAATAAATATGAACTCATTGGTACGGATTTTTTAAAGATTGTTTTTGTCCAACCATTTGTTTGATTTTGAATTAATTCAATCGGCATATTACTCCATGCACGATATTGTTGTTCATGTTCAACAATAATTTTATATGTTGCTTTAAGTGCTGGTTCATCAAAACAAGGTAATGCACGTCGTGCTGATATTGGTTCCATTTGTGATGCAAGTAAATAACGTCGTACATTATCTGTTGATCGTACATATGAACTAAGATAAAAACCTGATGTATCATTTCTTAATTCACCTATATATGGTATAGTTATTGTAAATTGTGTATTAATTAATAATGTTTGATTGAAAATAATTGTAAAAAAATCTCTATCTTCATCAAATGTTGTTCGTATAATTGATATTGTTGGATTATTTAATTTTATTGGATGATATATTGTTATATAACGTTTATGTAAAACAATTCTATCTGTTGTTTGTATGATTTGAATTTTTATATTAACTTCACCTTCATATATTGAATAACGTTGATTATTATCAGTGACATTTAAATAAGGTTTTATATAAAGATCATAATGTAGAGGAATAGCTAATGTTGGTAATCGATAACCACTTGTATCTGGTCCAGTTTTTTCTGGACGAAGAAATGATGTTATGGCATTAAGATTTATACGATTCCATTCAATTGCTGCATCAATTTTATCCAGTGAAAGTTGAAATTGTCTTTGAGCAGTACCTAAAATGAATAGAAAAGTATATAGATGTATATTCATATTTTTATTTATTTACCTTTATCCGTAATTGAATTTGCAAATGTTAAAAATTCATTACGTTGTCGAATATTAACAAAATGACTTGAAACCGATTCAATAATACCGGATAAACTTGAAACAGATTTTCCCCATTTAGAAAAAATTTGTTCCCAATTATCTCGTACCCAATTCCATGCTATTTGATTTCCATGAGGTAAACGAGCAATACGTTGAATTGATGCAGCTAAATCTTGATCACGTATAATTGGATTTACTTTTAAATGTTGATTAAGAAACCAAAGTATTAATGATGGATCTTGTGTACAAGCAAGACCATTTAATAAATTTAATGTTTCACTTGCAACATTTTCTTGTTTAAGACGATTCCATAAGAAATTAAATTCTAAATGAGAACCTTCACGTACAATTGTACAATAAACAGTTGAACGAAGTGTTGCCGGTATTTGATTTAATGATGGATTTGATAACCAACGACGATAAGATTTTCTTGCTTCGTCAACACATTCATGAAGACCATAACGACAAGCCAATGACAAAACACTTGGTTGTAATAATGCACGTAACCATTCTTTTGATTGATCTATTGGTGCCCAACCAATTTTATTATATAATGGTAAAACAAGATCAAGAAAATAATGTTGAACATCAAGAAGAATTTCATGTCCAGTTAATAAATCTTCTTGAATACGCATAGCGGTAAATGCTGCTGTCCAAGGAACAAATTCATCTTCATCTTTTAAATAACGTATTAATTCATATGCATCACTTGTATTTCCAATTGATGTACGAGATAATGCAAATATATCATCAATTAAAGCACCGCGTGTTATAGTTGGTATACGAGTATGATCAGTTAAAAGTTGATTTATTATTAAACGAAAATTTCTTGAATCATATTTTGTACGATAAACACCAAGATAATCAGGATTTGCTAAGAGCCAATCAGAATCTAATGTAGATATTGGTAAACGTGTTATACTTTCATTAAGCCAAATAACTGGATTTTGATTCAATTTCTATTAGAGAACAAACAAAATAGTATTTACGTTTGAATACTCATTATACTTAGTAAATGAATATAAATCGTATCAATAAGTCAAAATGTCTTTTTTCCTCTTCTTGACTTTCTGATATTATTGAAATACGAGATTAGTACCTGCGGACATCACTAGAGGTGGGTCAAAAGTCGCGTCGAATTCCGATAGAAATCCGATATAATTGATGGGTCTAGAGATAACCGTGCGGCAAACACTACAGAGGACAAGTAATAAAAAGAGAGTCAATCGAATTGTACGTACACTATGAGGATATGAGTTCAATTTTCGCTTCATTAACGCCTACGCAGACACCCACCCAACTTCAACAGACTTCTGTTAATTGTAATTATACACTTTCTACTAAGATAAATTATTATGGAATCATTTCAGATTATTAAATATGGAGAGCAATTAAATATAAGTCAAAAAAAATAGTTTAATGACTTTTAAGATGTTTATTTAATTTATACATTTAATCTATGACTTGATAATGTCATCATTTAATCTAATATAAATGAAAGACATTTAACCTTTATCGATGAAGGTTATCAGATTCTATCATTTTATCAATCATACTCAAATAAACAAACTTATTATAGAAAAATAATGCTTAATTAATCATTTTGCTAATATTCCGTAGAAATGTTTCTTTTTTTTCTAATCATATTACTATCGAAAATTGAAACGTTATTAAATATTAACTTGTTATAAAGCAGAAATAATAATAAAAAAAAAGTCGTTTTTTTACAAATGTCTTACTTTTGTTGTTGTTCGATCAAAATACTTGAATGGTATCCACCATTTTTCTTGTCTAGTTGTTGATGAAAAAAGACTAAAAGGTTTTTGTTTAATAGTAATATAACCATTGTTATTAGTTCGTTGTTGTCGACCAATAGGTGTTGAATATTCTCGAGTAATTTCTACAATCGGATAACCAGCTTGTTGTGTCCAACCATTCATAATTTTTTCAACATTAATTTTATTGTCCGCAGCATTACTTAAATATCTCCATAAATCTTCTTGTGTTGCTGATGAATAACTTAAATTTTTTAAATAATTTTGTATACCTTTTTGAAAAACTTTATCACCTAAAAACATTGACATCATTCGTATTAATGTTGCACCTTTATCATATGTTATTGAATCAAATAATTGAAATATATCATTTGGATTTGTTGAACTTATACTTATTGGACGTGATGTTGGTAAAGAATCTGCTTCCATAAATGGAAATATTTTTTCAACAACAATTCGTTCATCTTGCATCCATGTTGGTTCAAGTTCATCCGATGCTAATGTTTCCATATAACTAGCAAATCCTTCTTTTAACCATCTAAAATTTAAAAAAATTTTCTTTCTCTATCCAAAAAAAAAGAAATAAAACTTACAATTCACCCCACCAAGCTGGTGAAACAAGATTTCCAAACCATTGATGTGCAATTTCATGTGCAACTACAGTTGTAATATATTGTTTACGTGATGCTGATACAGTTTTTTCATCAAAAAATACCCCAACTTCTCGATAAATAACCAAACCTAAAAAATAAAATTTGATAATTTTATATATACAGACAACAAATTCATACCAAAATTTTCCATTGCTCCAGCACTAAAATCTGGTACAGCAAAGTGTTCGATTTTAGGCAATGGATAAGTAATATCAAAATATTTATTAAATAATTCTAATGATTTATACGCAATTTCATCTGCATAAGCTAATTGTGGTAAAATATCAATTCTTCCACATATTCTCGATTTTATATTTGTTATACCAACAAGACGATCAGGTCGACAATCAAAATCAGCTTTAGGTGCCACAATTAATGCTAATAAAAATGTTGACATATTTAATGTTGGTGTAAAATGTGATAAAATTTTTCCATCATTTAATGTTTCAATTTGTTGAATTTCTCCATTTGACCATACACGTTCTGATGGATCATGTATAACACTTATATAAAATATTGCTTTCCTTGCTGGTTCATCAATACATGGAAATACTGAACGTGCATGAGTTGGTTCCATTTGTGATGTCATAAATGTTTTATTCATTCCATTGATATCAATATATTTACTTATATAAAGACCATGTAATTCACGTGAAATATTTGCTGAATAAGTTAAATATAATGTATATGTATGTGTTGGAATGAAATATGATGAAAATTTTAATTTTATTAAATCATTCGGTTTATCATATAACCAAGAATTAATTATTGGTAATGATGATGTTGTTAATGATGAATTTATTATTTTTATTGTTGAATTATCTAATATTAGATCTTTTAAATGAAGTACAATTTCATTTGTTGTTTCGAGACATGTAAATGTATATAAAAGTGTACCTTAAAATAAGATATTTAACTTTTGTTTTTGTTGTTTAATTCTAATATTAAAAAAACAAACCTGTAAATGTTGACATTGTTAAATTAGGTGAAATTGTTAAATGATAAACTTGTTGTTTTAAATTTGTTGGTATTCGTTCAACAGGTGGTGCCGGTGATGTTGTTGTTACAATAGGTTGATTTGTTGCTGTTGTTAAATTATTAAATGTTTGATCAGTATTTGTTCGTTTTTGATTAACACCAAAATAAATTGTTAATACCAATAAAACAATAAATACTGATACAATAATACATAGAATAATCCAAAAAAATTTCTTCTTCATATGATAAGTATTTTTTGTTGATATACTCGTCATTGTTGGATCTGTTATAGTCAGATCAAATGATTCGGATACCATTTTGAATTTTTATATAAATATATGTGTAATAGAAAGAGAATAAATAAATATATAACACCTAGACTTTATGTTAAATTAAGTGTTTTTGTAATGTAAATAATAGGATAATTTAGTGTAATGACATAGGTAATAGAGAAAGACAATTCGATGTCTTATGGATAGATCAAATAATGAACACACAAAAGATAAAAAGTTAAAGACTAAGAAAAAGAAAAAGAGGTCACGCTTGTAAAACTATTTGTTGTTGATGTTCTAAATAAAAATCAAAAAGAACATATTAAAGAACGACTATGATGTTAAGATAAATAGATAAGAGTACTCAACTAAAATTTGAAATGCGTTTTCGACATTCACTTATACAGATAATTCAATTATAGAATAAAAAAATGATAAGGCTGTTGATCTTTAAAAATATATTAGATGCTCACTATCTATATTTTTTAATGGATTTCTTTTTTCTTGTTGTTGTTAAAAGAGTATAGGGCTAGACATGCGCGTCCTTTTTCTTAGATCAAGTAATCTTTTGAAAAAAAAGTCAAAAACAATTGTTTGATTTTGCAGTCCTCCTCGTCTTTTTTTTCTTCTTCTTCTTTTTCTTCTATCTTTCTCTAATCTCTATAAGACATTAAGTTGACATTCAAACACATATCTATATATATCTAAAACAAACGAAATACGATCTAGATATAATCAAATTTTGATGACTACTATTATTTAAAAACTTAATGCTTGACAACCTATTAATTTGTTTTTTTGTTGCTCATATTAAATGATTTTTCTATTAAATTATACTTTATTAAACATACTTGAAATAGATTAAGATTTGTTATTCGTCAGAATTGAAGAGAATATATATTATCATCTTTGGATAAGAAAGTTGATTTGTGATATGTGTATGTGTAGATTTTATTGAATAGTATAGAGAAACGTACGATGACACAATAATGTGTAACTCAACACGAGATAACAATATATTCATATAAGAAGAGTCAATCTATCATCACAATAAGCAATAGTAGTTGACAAGAATGATAGACAAGAAAAGAACAAGGCAAAATACATATCTATCAACAGAACGTGTTCCTTCGGGGTTTTTTTTCATTGAAAATTTTGACTTTTTTTTCCCATGTTTGGGGAAAAGAAAAATTACTAAAGCTTATTTTACTTTTCTTTCAAAGACTACGGATCAATCACGTTTGAATTATGAAGAACAAAAGCAGCATAAAATTTGTGTTCAATTTTCAAATGAAACGGAATTAACTGAAGAGACTTTTTTGATTAATATTGAAGATATCAATGAATCACCTTATGATCTTCAGTGTTCTAGTATGATATCAAAGAAAAAAAAAGAAAATATTCTTTATCATATCTTTTAGATCATACAGGTTTTTGTACGGTATTCGATGATGATTTCAATCAAACATTTAAATTTGAAATAAAAACTATTAATCATTATGAAAATGAAACATATTTTGAAATTCTTTGTACTGATAATGGTCAACCACCTTTATCGGTACATTATTATTTTTTAGGCCTAACTAATATTCTTGTTCTTTTTTTTGCTTACTCTAAGGTATCAACATGGGTAAAAGCTCTACCTGATAATATGACACTAATGTTTGTTCCTGTTCTTTCGTTGATTATACCAGTTAATGATAACAATAATACGATAGACAAACAGACAAGAGATGTAAGTATATTTCTTCGACATTCATTGTAAATGAGATCGGAAAATTCTTTGTCTTGTTCTTCTTTTTCCTTTTTTGTATTTTATCTATAACCTTTGCTTGTTTCTTTTCATCTTATATGGAATGTGAATATGATTAGAATCTTCTTGTTTGATCATGACAGAATGATAAAACTAACACGTTATTTAAGTTAATTTAATTAATAAATATTGTTTAGAATATTGTCATATCATATTCAAATGATGGAGATAAAACAGAACGACAACGACGACAAGCTAATTCACCACCACAAGTAAACAAAAGCAACAACAATAACAATAATAATGAAAAAAAAAATTTTTGTTTTTTCTTCTTCTCATAGAATATTTATTTTAATATACTTCATTTAACTATGCCAGAAAATGCACTAGATTATGAAATAGCAAGTGTCTACGTCACTGATGAGGATAATGATAACTATGTATGTACAGTTCATACATATGATGCTCCAGAAGATTCTCAACCATTTGATATAGTCAATGGAATTTTACGAACTAGTTCAATTGTGCAAGATGGTCGTAAGTGTTGAACAAAAAAATCAATTTTTTTTTAACTTTTTTTATTAAGTTTATAATATTAATTATGAAAAAATACCTGTTTATAATATAACAGTAACATGTACGGATCCAATTCATCAATATACGATTCGTAAACATTTTACTATTGATGTTATTGACATTAATGAACCACCAATTCAATTAATATTAGTACCTGATACAGTATTTATATAAATTTCAAATTTAATTTTTTTGTTCGCTATTAATTCAATATTCATTTTTTAGTTACCAGAAAATTCTCCAATGGATTATGTTATTGGTCGTTTTTATGCAAGTGATCCAGATTTACTAGTGGATAATCAAACATTTGAATATTTGATTGCTATGAATCCAAATGGTATGTTTAGCATAGACAATGATCAATTAATTGTAAGTCATATTCAAATAATTATTTCGAAAAAAAAATTATATTTATTTAGTTAAAACGTACTAATGATGTTGAAATGTGTATAAGTCAACCGGATTTATGTCCACATGATTATGAACAGATTACTTCATTACTTATTCGTATAAATATTAAAGATAATGGTCAACCATCTGTATCGCAAAAATTTTGGATTCAAATTCCAATAACAGATGAAAATGATCCACCAGTGAATTTACAATTAAACCAAAATTTTATTAGAGAAAATTCACCAATTGGTACATTAATTGGATCATTTTCAGTTGAAGATCAAGATTTATATCAAACACATACATATACACTTGTTAATCAAAGTCCATTATTAAACAATGAATTTCTTTTTGTCATTGAAGATAATAATTTACGTTTATTACAATCACCAGATTATGAACTAGATTCATTTTATATTATCACTGTACAATGTACAGATAATGGAACACCACCAGCGAGTGTAAGTAGAAATCTATAATAACGAATAAATTCTGCCTTTATATGATTTACTTCATATAAATAACGTTTTTTAATTGTTTTCTGATAGATAACAAGTGATTTTCTCATTGAAATTATTGATGTTGATGAACTTCCCGATACTTATATATTTATTCCAAATCCTGATGGTATTATATCAGATGATATACTTAATGATTTAATAAATGGAAGACAAACACCACGAACTATTTTTCTTCCACAAAGTACATATTCTCTTCCATCACTTGGACAAATTGTTTTTCTAATGGAAGATCGTGATCGAGATATCGATTTGACGGCATTAAATGATGATGATAATCCGAATGAATTAGGCTTTTCAAAACCAACATGTGAATTATCAATACATAATCCAGATCGATTATTATGTACATCAATTGTTACTGTTATAAATCCACGTTTATTTGATGATAATAATACTCCGGTTGAACATTTAATAATAAATACATTAATATTAACTAGTAATGATAAAATAATGACGTTTCCGAAACCATTAAGAATAAAAATTGAAAATATTGTATGTGACAAAAAAATTATTTAAAATGAAAGAATGATTTGTTTTTATTTGATTTAGACTTTAACAATCAATGATACATTAACACTATCGATTGATGTTGAAAAAAGTAATATAAGTGGTATTGAAATTGGTAAACTTCAAGCTATTGATTTAGCAGCTGGAGGAGAAATTCTACAAAATATTGCACTTAATTCAAATAGTTATTCATTATTTCCATTTGAACTTGTTAATTTAACTACTTTTAAAGTTAGTTTATATATATTTTCTTATCATTCGATTACAATTATTGAACTATATAGGTTCGTGATGATATGGATTTATCGTTATCTTCTTTACCATCAATATTTAATATTAGTGTATTAGTAACAACAGTTGGTGAAGATAGTCGAATTGTAGAGAAATATTTTATTATTAATATTAAAGATAAAAGAAATGTTTCTCTAATATTATCGAATAATAAGGTTAGAAATCAAAAATAATATTTATTTAATTTAATTTTTTTTCTTATATATTTAGATTCAGGAAAATTCTCCTGAAAATACATCAGTTGGATATTTTATTTTACAGGATGGTATTGGAAATTATACTATTAATCTTATTCATGATGCTAATGGATATTTCAAAATAAATGATATAAATTTATTAGTAAAATTTAAAAAGCGAAAAAAAAACAAATCTTTATTTTTTTATTTTTAGACAGCTCAAAAAATTGTTGAGAATTGTCGTATCAATCATACATGTCAATTGAATCATGAAATTGAATCTACAATTAATATAACAGTTGCAATTCTTGATCCAATAACGAATGAAACTTATCGTCATATTCGTTTTCTTATTCAAATTGAAGATGAAAATGAACCACCATATAATATCACTTTATCTCGTAAATAAATATTCTATTTAAATTTATTAAATAACATTATTATCTTTTATAGTCACTTCAGTTTCAAAAGATGCAGAAATCGATGATATAGTTGGTGTTATTAATGCTATGGATGATGATATTAATCAAACATTGACATATACAACAACTAATCCATTATTTAATATAATTGATAATCAATTAATTTTATCTTCGAAATTAGATCATGAAAGCCGAAATACTATTCCAATATATATTCGAGCAACTGATGATGGACAACCATCCAGATTTGTAAAGTTTATTTAATGATTTATTTTAATGAAAAATGTTTTTCTTTTTTTAGACGGAACAATTATTTTTTATAAATGTAACTAATGTTAATCAAGAACCATTGCAGGTTACATCAACTCCAATGATTTGTTATATTCCAAAAGATTCAAATTCAATACCAACAATTATTAGTCAATTAACTATTGTTGATCCAGATGAAAACGAAAGTTTTAATATAACATTTAATAATTCAAATTATCAGGCATTAATACCACAGACGAATGCAGTTTCAGTATTGTTAAATAATGTTTCAGCTATATATGTAAGGAACTCTACATTTATTTGATCTCTTGTAATGCATATTGATTGAATTTTTAGGCACAAATTTATAATATTAATATTATGGATTTAAATCCACCTACGGAACAGAATGATACGGATTATTATGTCAATGTAACAGCATATATAACTGATTCTGGTAATCATACTACAATACATGAATTTTCAATACATTATCTATCGGAACTAACAATGAACTCAACTATACCACCAACGATGACATCAGCAATACCATCGACAACAACAGTAAAGTTCACTATAAAGAAATAGGAGTTCCTATCAAGCACTTAGAACTTTCAGAAAAAAAAGAGAGCAATGCTTTAATTAAGATCCATTGAGACAAATAGAATAAGTATTATAGTTCTGAATTTTGTTTAGATTGCATCATTATCTCAAGCATTACATGTTCGTATTTATGAAACAACACCATCAGGTACACCAATTACTCGTGGTCTTTTAAGTTCTTTAATATCAAATAATTTATTTTCAAATTCATCAACATGTATTACTACCGATGAACAAGGTAATCAATTTCCAATGAATATAACAAATATAATTCAATCAACATTTATTATCTTTTTACCAAATAATTATACATTAAATTCAACAATTCATCCAACTATAATTCTAACTGTACAATGTATTATTGATAATGATATGGATGTTAATCAAGTAAGTTCGGACTTCTTTTTTATTGAATAAAACAAACAAAAAAAAATTTATCGGGATTAGGCTATCGTTATCGATGTTTTACCGGCTCCACCCACAATAATGATCGAATTTAATCAAACACAACCATTCTATGCAACAAATAACATCAATAATGATACTATATTAGGTAGCTTTTATCTAACTGAATCAACAACCGACTCAAGAAATCGAACATATAATCTTTCATTAAGAAATAATCAGAATATATTTCAAGTAAATATATAATTTTAAAAAACAAAAATAATCTTTTATTATTTCTTTCAGCTTTTACCAAATAATAGTCTTATTCAAATTGGACCATATTCATTTGATTTATTAGAAATTGATAATCCCTATGTTAATCTAACTATTCAAGCAATTGAAACAACATTAGATCAACCAATACGTATTATTCAAACAACATTTAATATATCAATTATTGTTAATTTAACAGTACCATTTATTTCTTGTAATCAAACATCAATACCAAATGATACAAATCCCGATACAATCATTGGAAATTTTAGTGTACACAATATAACAATACCTTATAGATTACAATTACTTGATACATATGATGATGGTCTTGAATTAGATCCAAATACAAATATTTTAAAACTTAAAAGAACACTTAATACATTTCCGTTATTGAATAATAATACACAATTATTGGTTAAAGTGGCGTTAGTTAAAACAACAAATGAAACTATTGTATTAGCAGATTTTCCATTAACAATTACTTATCCAACAAGTTTAGATCTATGTTTAAATAAAGATTGTGGAAATGGTACATGTATTAATGTGAATGAAACGTAAAAAAAAGATATTTTTTTTACCAATTAAATCTATTTGTTTCGTTTTTTTTTAGTATATCCTATTGTTTATGTACAAGTGGTTATACAGGACTAAATTGTCATTTAATCGATTCATGTGCATTTAATCCATGTGCAAATAATGGTATTTGTCATCAATTATCTACTAGAGGTGATTTTTCATGTCAATGTTTACCAAATTGTTCTGGTTCTCGTTGTGAAATATTGATCGATGTTTGTCAATTAAATACATCACTTTGTTCATCAACAGATATATGTATTCCAATTAATAATAATCTTACAAAGTATGTTTTTATATAAAAATCTCTTTTTCTTGTTTTGATAGATGAACATTTTTTTGTTTTAGTTTTTTTACATGTATCTCAAGAGATGAACTTCAATATTTAGTATTTGATTATTTAAATGATTATAAAAAACTTGATATTATTAATGATAAAGATTTACCGAAAAAATTAGAAGATTTTATTAAGAATAATTTATTTGATATTGAAAATATTATTGTTCCAGAAAGAAAAATACTTGGCCCATATGTATATAATCGAGCAGAATTTATATCAATTGGTGTTCAATCAACAAATGATAGTAGTACAACATTAAATGAGAGTTTAAAATTATTTTGTACAAATCAATCATCAACTAGTAAGACATTTCTTTTTTATGTTATCAATATGTATCATGTTTTTATTTAGTTGATTTATTTGCTACTGTAATCTGTGCTGGTTATCGTCAAGCAAATTATCTTGATGAATATTTTAAATCGACACCAACATTTTGCCCAAACTGTACATTTACAGATGCAGCTGATAAATATTATTGGTTCGATAAAACAATTCCATTTCTCCCATTATGGATAACTCTTATTGGTAAAAAGGAAAACTAATTTATTCGTATTTTAATTTGATTTTTTTCAGTTGGATCACTTCTAATGGCTGCGATTCCGTTAATTCCAATGACTTCTAATGTACCGAAAAAAGTTGCATTACCATTAATGAAAGCAAAAAAATATCCTGATCAAGAAGAAGAATATCCATTGTAAGTTTATTTTGATAAAATAAAAATTCCTCTTTTATAATCTAAGATTAAATTGCGCTGCTGATTTGAATTGAATTACTTATATTTTATATCTAGATTCGTAAATTCAATTCTATCAGCAACAAAAAATAGTCGTAAATCTTATCGCGAAAGAAATGATTCTGGTTATGAGAGTAATGAGGATAGTAAAAATTATCTTGAACAAATAATTACTAATCATCAACAACAACAAGAATCATTTCATGTCTATCCTATTTTACATGGACCACGTTCACCAATAATCGATCGTCAAATTACAACAATTGATGATTTAGTTTTATCAAATTCTACACATCGTTCTCAATCACCAATATCATCAATTGATTCACGACGTGATATGCAACGATCATCTTCAATGTCATCACAAAGAACTCCTCGTCAATCAAATCAAACATTAAAACCAATAATTCAACGACCTTCAATGTTATTTGAATCAAGTATTGGTACATTAATTGGTTCAATGGGTCTACCAAAATTAAATCATGATGATGATACATATGTATCAACAAAATTTCGTAATGAAAATACATCGAAATTTCTTATGGGAACATTATGGAATACATTTGCATTAGTTAATAATCTTTTTTTACAACGACCTAGAAAACGACGTAATGCATTATCAGGTGATACAAATATTCGTGTTGATCAATTAGCACGTTTACAAGAATTATATTCACTTGCTGAACGTGAACAAGCGAATGAATTACCTATAAATAATCTTCAATCGATTATAAATGAAATTTTAACAAAACAAAAAAATTTACCAATAAATAATTTACGAGCAATTATTTTTGATATATTATCATCAAAAAAAAACAATCAATGCAATTGTTATGGAAATCGTCATATTCCATCATGTATTTATTATGATCAATCATTACCTTATTTAAGATCTTTTAATGGTAATACATCAAATATTGAACATATTTTTGATAATATGTTAAAATCGAATCAACCACGTCATCGAAATATATTAACACAACCGTATGTAAGAAAACCTGCAAGAACTTTCATACATTCTAAACCAACAAATAATATAGCCACACAATCGACTCCACCACCATTAACTCTAACACAATTACATTATAATGCATCGACTCAATATAGTCCAAAAGAAGTTAAACATATGGATGATATTTCTACTCAAACTATTCTAAATAAATTTCATGATGTTTCAACACAATTTAGTTCGATTGAAATAATAAATAATTCCGATAATTTTAATCTCGTAAATCAATTAATACCAAAAAAGAATCAATATAATGATCCTGTTTATGTTAATATATCTCCTCAATTAAGTCCACAAGAAAATAAATCTAAACATACAAATATTTCAACTCAAGTTATTGAAGATCAACGAAATACACTTATGAATGAATTAAAAGAAGTTTTCACAATACCTAAAGAAGAGCTAGATAGAAAATCTCCTCCTAATCATACTGTACGAAGTCTTGTTTCAATGTTCGAAACAACAACACCAGCTAATAAACTTCATATAAACATTCCAAATAATAAAACATCAATAAAATCTATTACAAACGATTCAAAAATTTCCAATTCATCAAATAAGGAAAATGAAAAAATTCCTTCATCGATAAATGATGATGTAATTGAACAATATGTAAATGAAGTCGTATCAAATATAGTTGATAATGCTATTTTAACAGCAGCAATAGAAACAACAAGTTATTCTAATGAACAACAGCAACAACAACAGCAACTACAACGACGTTTTTCATTTTATAGTAATGGTGGTGGACATGGAAAAAGTTTATTATTTCAATCAAATACATTTGTACCAACTATTGATATAATTAAACACGATACAGATGAAAATTTCCGGGGTATTTCAAGTGAATTCTTTTCATCTGAAATAATTCCTTCTTCTTTTTCAAATTATCCACTAGTTGAATCTCAAGCATCGAATGTATTAATAAACGATGCTGTAATACCTAATGAATCTCAACATACATTAATCGTTGGTCGATATATAAATGGTGACGAATCGAATCGATCAAAAATAAAAAAACAACGTAGTTTTATTTACGATACGAATAATAACAATAATGATTCAAGTTCATTATCATCGTTTGATGATGAACAACCTGATCATCAACAATTTCTTTCTAATAGTCAACTTTTTTCTGCACATGAATTATATATTCGACCATGGCTTGTAAGACGAGCAACAGCACCTGATATTCATTGTCTTGATAATGATATTAATGATACATATGTTGAAATAATACCAATAGATTCCATCGATACATATTTTAATATTTTTCCAAGTAATCCTGTTCTCGATTTAGCTACACATTATACTTGTTTAATAACAATTTTACTTTATCTTCATGATGTTCATGATGAATATTCAAATGAAATTTTATATGATGAACTTGATCAAATACATAAACAAATAATAGATTCACTATTACCATCACCAATTGCTCCGACATCCAATGTATTTCAAACAACAAATCAAGATGGAAGTAAACGTTATCGTACTGGATTTGTTCTTGATATAAATTCACCTAATACATTAATTCGACCTAAACTATATGCAAAACAAATTGAATGGAAACATGTTAAAATTATTATACGACGTTTTAGAAAAAAATATCAACATTATAAACAAATAATAAAAAATGATAAGAAAACTAAATCGAATCAATTTAATATTGAAAATTATTTAAAATATTTTGATTCGACATCTAAACGTCGCATGATAAAATATGCGAAACATTATGCAGAAAAATTATAAAAAAAATTAACTTGTTTTTTCTTTTTATTTAGTAATTAATCATTATTCAACGACATATTCATTCCAATTAATCATTTCAATATTTGAAAGACATTCTTTTTTCTTTTGTGAACATTTATTCAAATAAATTATGTTTATGTCATTAGAATATGATTTAGTTAATAAATTTTAAAAAATAAATAAAATGGTGAAAGAAATAATTCATAATTATCTAACAACATTTCTCCAACTACTTCCTAAGAGTCTTAGTCAGAAATTAAATCGTTTTGTAGCTCTCTGTTTGGCAATCGTAGAACGCTGCTGACAATCAATACATTCATATGTTGTCAATGAGAGATATACTGTTTTTCTGAAAATCATTCAAACAATATTCACCCATTATTTATTTTGAAATGAGCGGTAGTTTCCGAAGATTGTCATTGTCGTTTGCTTTAGTTTCTTAACTGTACGATGTCTATTTTATATTTATAGTTCTTGTATAAACTCTGAAAATAGACGATAATATAAAAGAAAAACAACTTTTAAAGAAGAACATTATCTATTTCTATTAGTACTCGATTGACCGAATGTCTTTTCTTTATTGAAGAATATAGTTATATTCGTCAACTTTTAACATACGTATGAAACGGACGAATGAAACAATTGATTTGTTTCTTTATATGATTTAAAATAGTAAGAATATATATGTCACATGGTATAAATATATCCATCGAGGGTAACTATCTATGAATGAAAGTAGAAAAAGAAAAGAAAAGAAAAATATCGATATAAATAGTCGATAGAAGTATCCTTTCAGACGAAAAGATAAAACTCTATTCATTTCTTTTCTATATCTATCTATATATATATATCATTTGTTTGTTGTTGATGTTGTGTTTGTATAATAGTTGAAAGTGAATTAATTTCAATTTAATAATGGAACGACAAGAATATCGAGATATGGATGATGAACAAGAAGAATATACTATTGGTAGTCTTGATACTTCTATGGATAGATATCTTGAACGTCAAAGACTTTGGAGAAAACGTATTCCACAAGGTTAGCAAAAACAGAAAGAAATTTTTTTTTACAAATTTTTATTTAATTAAGATGGATCAAGTTTATTTCGTGCTTTATCAGAAGCTGTAAGCAAAATAAAATTTATTTTTTAAATATTTTTTTTTTGTTTTTTTCGTAGCTATTTTCTACTCAAGTCCATCATTACGATGTTCGATTAAAATGTATTGAACATATGGAATTAAATGCTAATGAGTATAGTCAAGTAAGAGATTTTTATCCATTGCTGATTTTGAAAGTATACTATAACAGAAGAACTATCTTAATTGATTCTGAGTGTTTGTCTTCATGTTTAAATTGTCAAGACCATATGTTCTTCTATTTAGTTAATTACAATGCCGTTATCAAAATATTTAACTCATTTAAAAGATCCAACTGTAAGTTAATTCGTTTATTTAAATTTGAATTCGAAACTATATCTCTTTTCTAGACACCAGGTGGTATGCTTGAGGTAGAAGCACTTGCACGATGTTATCGGTAAAGAAAACAAAACGTTGTCTTATTTGAAAAAAAATAACATTGTGTTTTTATTCAGTGTATGTATTATTGTGTATTCTGGTAAAGATCATCATCCTGTGGAATGTCAATATGGTTCAAATAAAATAATGTTTTCATTAATTGGGTATCAATTTGATCGGGTTATTACAGAAGAACGTCGTCGACTTTTAGGCATTGTACAAGGTAAATTATTCTTCATCTTTTATAATAGATTATAATAAGAAAAATATTGTATTTAACATCTAGATATAAATCAATTTTCTTTTTCTTTTTTAGCTTATGTTTACAAATTTCTCTACAGTGAAGTATTCAATCAACCCAAAGTAGTCGAGCAAGCGAAAGCAATGTTAAGAAAATCTGATACACTTTATTATGGAGTTAAAGGAGCTAGCATGCAAAAGTAAATAAATTTAAATTCAAAGAAAAAAATATTTATATTTGTTTTTCTTTTCTTTTTTTAGAAATTCAATTCGAACAGAAAAAAAAAGTAATCATGAATTAATTCCTGTACCATATCGTACAGCAAAAGCATTGGAACCAGCTATTTTTCGAAACGTTGCTTATGATGTTTATATGAATGATCATTTTAAAAAATATATTGATAGAAATATGATTAAATCACATCAACATATTCCATTTATGACACATAATCGATTAATTGAACGTTTTGGTAAGATACGAAGATTTACAAATGTGAATTTCTATTTTTAATTTCAAAGGTGTTAAAATGCATTTGCCTGTTTCTTATATAAATCCATCAGATTGTCGACGAGTCATTGTTCGATTATCAAATTCCGATGAACTATTTGCTTATTATGTTGGTGAAGATTCAGATACAAATATGCATAATGTTTATCTTGTTAAATTTGGTTCAATGTAAAAACTAAATTTTAATTTAAAGAAAATTATTTTTATTTTACAGGACAAAAACAACTGGTGAAAAAATGTTGGATTTTCCAGCATCACTTGGTCGTCGTCCAATAACATTTGCACAATTAAAACGACATACAAATATTTATCGAAAATTAAAACCTTGTTGTAAGTTTTTTTGTTTTTCTTTAGAAAAATCGTTTCAAATAAATTTCTTTTAGTGGATGCAAGTTTACAATTTTTCGAAGAACGTTCATCAAGACGACAACGACAACAAGTTATTGATTATGGAAATAATCCATCAATTCAACTGTAAGAATCTTGAATTCGATATAAACGAATGTTAAAATTCTCTTAATTTTAGTTTACGTCCATATCAACCACTAATGTCACCAATAAATCCAACAGTATTATATTCACCACCTCTTGATAATTATAATCAAAATTCGAATTGGATTTCTCCACATTCTTCTTCTCATCAACCAGTACCAATATTAATGCCAATGAGTAATTCTGATCAAATGCAATTACATCATCGTCTTAGTGTTAATGTAACCGATCATTATGAATGGTCAACAAATCCAACAAATTATTATCCGGGATATTCAGCAACAGCAAATTCATCAAATATAGATACAATGTCATTAAATGGTAGTTTAAGTAGTAATACAAGTACAAATGATAGTTCACCTTATCCAATATTAGCACCAATGCCAACAGTTTTTTTTAATCAATATTCTCAACAATCATCATGTGAACAACAACAACAACAACATCATCAATATGCTCAACCAACTGTCTTTGTTCCACAACATATTTCACCAAGATTAATTAGTGAACAAACTGAACAACATATACCGAATGAAATGTCATCAAACAAGTGTGTATTCATTTTACTTATGAAAATATTTGATAAATTTTAATTTTTCTAGATTTCATCCTAATCAAACTCCTTTTGTTGTTATGGTAAGTTTCTACTATTGATAAATTATTTTTCATTTTTTTTCTATTATTATAAAGTCTCCAACACATCCAATGATTGGTCCAGGTATGCAACAACCTGTTGCAGGTAAAATATTTCTATACTCCTATCTTTTTCTAATAATTTATTTTTCTAGGATTTCATCCAATTTCAATGGTACCACATATTTATATGGATCCAATGAATTGTTCACCAAATAATGCTAATATTTATCCTGGTAGTCCTCAACAACACCACCAACAACAATCATCATCACCATATCCATTATTTTATTCGTCATCACCTACAACACCTTCAACACCATGGATTTCTACTGTTCCACTACCACCACATTATTACGTGTTACCTAATCCTCAACAAGTTCAACATTATCCTTTTCAACAGTTAATTTAAACTGTATGTATGTGTGATTTCTTTTTTTCATTTTTCGTTCTTTTTCTTTTTCTTTATTTTTCTTGTGTTTCAGTTGTAAAAAATTTAACTCTTGTACATTTATTAGATCTATCTATCTATTGTTGTTTTTGAACTAGAGACTTCTTTATTTTTTTCTCCCTATGGGATTTATTTGTATATATATAAGAGTGTGTTTAGTTTGTTTAAGTTGGCTTTTTTTTTATAAGCGTATACACCATGTGTATTGAAAAGATATGAAAGAAAAAGAATTAATACATACACATACATGTTAATTTCTTTTTTTACTCGATTTAAAAGAAAAACTTTTAGGAAGAATATTGATTGAATTAAGAATTAATTAACTGAAGAACTAAAAATAATATTTGATAAAATTTTTCAAGTATCATTTTACACTTGATACATTCTGTCTTTATCATAAGAAAAATGTATCATATATAGGCACTCAATAATTTAAATATCAAAAAAAAGACTAGACTAGTCTTCATTATAAATTCTAACGTAATATTTCAATGTTAATTGGTATATATGCAAATAATTGACCAGAAAAAAAACTTGGCCACTAAATTCCTACTGTCTTACTTCCTCAACATAATATTTTTAAGAGGATATATATCCGATGCATTCTGTGGCAACAACACTCGTATGTTTGGGGTCATTATTTTGTTGAAGTCGCCACCGCTGTTTAAATTGCATTATGGCACCTGGCAAAAGATAACAAAGAAAAATAACCAAAGAAGTCGAGAAACTTCTTTTCCTTAGCTGTTAACAATGACAACGATAATCTAGGTTAAAAGACACAGATCATGAAAGGAGAATAGATGATGAAGAAGAGAACAGAAAGTGATGACGCTGATCATATATGACGAGAGAAATATGTAACAGCCATCGAAGATATAGCTGACGGAAAAGTTATATAAAACAACTATAAGAAAATATTTTTACCTCAGAGTGTAAGAAACTACTCATAAAAAGGACGAGTCAATAAGTTTAAAATCAATTTTAGGTCAAGGTTTTTTGAAACGTACTGTATAAGTATTTTCCAAGAACTTCAAGTTATATTTAGTACTAAATTCTACTTGAAGTAACAATAATGAAAGAACGTTCTTTTGATTGAATGAATTCAGTTTTTAGACACATTTCAATAGAAATAAATATCATTCATTTGATGAAGTGAAAATTTGACAATAAAAGAATTACACTGATGGATGAATATTATGAAAGAAAAAACTCATTTACTAGTTCTATACATTTTGTAAAATTCAATTAAAACAGTATAATAAATTTTATAAAAATAGAGTTCAGACTATTCCTTCTTATAAGATAATCTGTAATTTAGCTTAACCTGTCTCGATTATTATTAGAATAATTATATTAATGAATACACACTATTATACGCATATATATATTCATGATCTTTGATATACAATCATTTTCCATTTTGTTATATCAACTAGTGATAATTTTAAAAAATATCGGTCTATTCGGAGTTTACAACGATCTATTTATTCATCTTTGAAATTATTATGTTATGCGTAGAAGTTAGCTTAAAATAATATAATAAAAGAGTAGTAAGACTCGCTCATTTGTTGAAAATTTTCAATAACGAACCGAGATAAGTACGTACTGAACATAATCCTATTCCATATTATTACAATCTTTTTTCATCCTTAACGACATAGAGTCATCTTATTATGTGTCAAAAGAATTATTTCAAATAAAATAATAATAAGTATTCACATTACAGGAAGTAGTAAGCCGGGGAAAAGAGTCTTTCCTCTTTTCAAAGGACAGTTGCTATCCGCTCATTTTCTCTATGTTATAGTTTATATATATATACATGAAAAAAAATGTTTTCAAAGAATATATCGTATCTCAAAATAGAGTATAATATGTAAGTCGAACAATTTTTTGGTTTGAAAAAAAACAATTAGTATGCTTATATTAATGTAGTAAGTATTTATATTAAAACGACAAATTCACGAAATTTATTTCCTCATTATATGACTTTTTTCGTCAGAATAAATCATATACATATCTGAATAAATCTTTTTTTCGGTTATATATATATAGTAGAAGCATAATATAATGTTTGTGTTTTTTTCCTTCTAATACTTGTATTATATCTGATAAAAAAAGGAGAACTATCAGTCATGATTTAAATCAAAAAACTTCCGTCTTGTTTTTCTTCTACGTTCGTACAGAAAGTTTTCAGACATATTACTCAAGTAACCAAGGTTGTATTTACATAGAATAGTTCAAATACACTTGACAACCCGAAGACATTACGTCAACTATATTAATGAAGTATTTCGTAGAATAAAATCAATTGTAGCAGAAATAATACGTTTATTATTAAGTAGTAAAACTAATATACTGAATAAATGATGAAAAGTACTATAATTTTGTCTTATTTTAGATATAAATTACGAATCTTTTACTTCTTAATATGTCAAAAATAGTTCATAGTGTATCATGTAAAACACGTGATGATAAAGACAAATCTCATATACCAAAACAAACTCGTCGTAATACTCATACACACATGGACAGCGAGACAATAATCAGTACTCTTACTGGTTTTGAAAATGATCTTGGAGAAAAATTAGAACAAATAGATCGTGAAGCTGAATTACAAGTACAACAAATTGAATTAAGTGAATGTCTTATGTTAACTTCTCAACTTGTTGATTTATTTAAACATACTGTAATCACATTTGAACTACAGAATCAAAATGATTGGCATAATGATACTCGACATCAATTAAAAAAACGTAAAACTGTAACTGTCAATACACTTCTTGATGATAAAATCGAAAAAATCGTTATTAATAAAGGTTTAACGAAAGAACAATGGAAATGTCTTCTTTATATATCTTTTATTAATGGTGATACAATAGAAATAACGAAAGTTAACAAAAAACATCTACATAAAATACGTGACAAAGCTTCACGTTTATTGGAACCTGATGAACGTGATGCAGTACTTGCGCTTATCAATGCTATTGAAAAACATATGCCAAAAGAACATTTCATAAGTAAATGAAAAAAATCTTCTAAAACATTTCATAATATTCTCATCAATATTGTACCTGTGATGTACTTGTGTAATATATTTATCTTCATTGATCGATTGTTTTCTTTTTTTATGTATCATATTCGTAAAAGTTTTCTTTGATTTATTTCATAGAGACTTCTTCATAATAAAAAATATCAATTTAATCTTGAGAGAATAAATTTTCCATTTTCGAAGACAAATTATAACGAATAATAACTTGTAAATTTAATTAAAGAATCTTAGATTATTTCATTAGTTAATTAATATTCAAAAAAGAAACAGAAACAGAAATTATAGTTAATTCAAATTAATAAGATAAAAATATATAATCATCATGTTATTTAATGGTTTGTTTTTCTAATTAAAATATGTTAACTAGCATCCATTAATGGGTTGTTATCTTCACAAAATAAAATAAAACATTACATTAATAGATAGTTATCCAATTATCTATAATGCTGACAGACAGTTTTTTCTTTTTTTCTTTCTCGGCAGTATGACATTCTATTAATAATTATCAAAAGAATACCTTGAAAAAAAATGAGACTAATAAAAATGATATAATATAGAGAAAGAAACTTCTTTTTTAACGAATACATTCACACACGACTCATTTCAAATCATTTTTCTAAACATGTGATTAATTATTAGTTTGTTGAATATTAATAGAAAATTTTATATTTACATGATAATATAAGCAACTATCAATTATCTTTACATGAAGTAGATTTGAGTTTACAAAATCTAATAAATTAGTACTTTATAATCAGAAGTATATTATCAAAAGTTTACGGAACATTTCACAAACAGTATGTTACCGGACTAATCAGTTGTGTAAGTCTTATTTCTCGTCTAATATATATTAATTTTTTTTTGACAAGAATGAAGAAGAATAATTTTTGAGGGGGTGAAAGTGAATAACTGAATCCAACTTTTGATACTACTATTAAAAATAAAATGTATTTGATTAGATAAAAAATCAGAGAATGAAAATCTATTCATTCATATTTCTATAATAACAATTATATTACATATACAGTATCATTTTCAATTTACACTAATACGAAATTTAATAAAACAAAGGAAAAAAATATCCAGTTAAATATTTTCAGATATGTATGTAATTCAATCATAAGTTTAATCAAAAATAATTCCGAAACAATAAATAATACTAATAATTTAAATCGTATTGATTCATCCTCACTTTTACTAATTATCGTGCTGTTGATATTTATTTTTTCTTTAATCTTATCAATTATTCTTCATATATTACAATAACTTTTTGCATTCAACGTGGTAATCATTTTCATTTATAAAAAAATACTAGTGCAATATTTGTTGTTAATCAACAATGCTATGGCACGTTAAAACAGTACGCTGACGATTCTTTTGTAAGTCATTCGTCAGTCATAATTCTTATATTTTATTCCAAGATTAAATATGAACATAAAGAAAATCTTCATGTATTACTCAATTATCAAACTTTTAATAAAAGACATCTTAATATATTCTTTATTTCAGTAGATTCACGAATATCAATAGTATCATTTTATATAATTAGCATAGTCTTCCATAGACATTTGACAAGTTCTTTTATAATTATATTCCAAATAAATAGATCACTGAAATATAAGTATTTGAAAGACTTTCTCAAAAAAACAACAACAACAACTAATCAATCATTTCTTCGTATATTAGATACATCCGATGAAAGTTTATTATTACCTTTATTATATTTACCACATGTAGCATTAAACAATTCTATTGAAATGTTACATTTGTTTCTTGACAACAAACTTTTTCGTACAGATTTATCTAGTATTCAATATATAACTCTAATGAAAAGTATCGATTTTGTGAACTACATTCCAATAACTAATCGTTCTGTTCATATTTTATATTCTTAAAATTATTCTAACTATACATCTTTAAACTTAATGGCAGTTTTAGATCCATTTTCAATTTTACGTGAATTGAGTTTGTTACGTATATTTCTGTATGAGTTGCTAAAAAATATTGATAATAAGAGCTAATAGTAATCGTTAGAAGACGCCATCATTAAATGATTTTGTCTACGGAAACATTGTGTAATTTGAAAGTCAATTTTAGATTTTATTTGACAAATAGCAATTGGTTGACTTGAAAGTAATCGAGTTTTTTGATGATAGTTCTATTAGAAAAAACTATTGCTACCTGGAAAAAGTTAAATCATTATTTTGAATCTTCTACCATTTGCATTTGTGAGGTGGAGGTGTGGGGTGTGAAATGTTGGCGAGGGTAATAGTGAAGAAAAGACAGCTACACCTACACTCTCAAAATATACCTGATGAGTCCCTTAAGCAAGGACGAAACGACGTATGATGCTTTGAATCTAATTACCTATATAAACATACCCACACCCACACCTACATCCACTTTCAAGATTGAGGCTAAATGTTGAATGCCTGTTTATTTTTTCTTGGATACTGAATATAGAATACTATGAAAAAAAGATAAAATGTTAATATTCATGTACGAAATGACGTTCAGTTGATTGATTTATGTAGAAATACTTCGATAAATTTTCGTAGTTCTTTTGCAAAAGACTTATTCACTTCATTTTGCTCGATAGTACTGATATTGACTTCCATCTGTATTGAATATACTGGCAATTGAACTCAAATTCCATCCACTGTACTTTCGATTAGTAATTTTATCCCCATATGATAAACAAAGACAGCTGAACATATAATTTCTGTGAACCAACTTTCGCCACAATTATAAAATGTCTTGAGGGTGTGGGTGTGGGTAGGTGGGTGGGTGTGTCGTAAATATGATACACAGTCACAGCCACACCCAATTTATCCCACCCACACCCTCAACATTACGAAGCTCCTCGGGTGAAAACAGTTTTTTCTATCTCAAGCTGAAAAATAAGCGAGAATATTATAATGTATCTGTTTTATTCCTTTTTTAAAAATAACAATAGAAAGAAAAGTATTGTGTTTAATCTTAAAACGTTGAGTTAGAGTCAGAAAATCCAGTTAAATAAAGACAATAAAACGGTAATGATTTTATCAGTAAGACAGTTAGTCGACAGATACGATGTATCAAAAAGTAGTGTGGTGACTATTCTTCAGTGTTGTAGAAAGTTAATATTCGATTGTACGTCTAACTGCAACAAAGATATTAAGTGTAAGCGGCACAAACGATTGATCAACTAGTCTTCGATTGATTTACTACAAAATATGTCAAACAAATTGTCATTTCAAAGTCTAGTTTACATAATAAAAACGAAACAACTTCTTGACTAGTTTAGATATCTAGCAAATATATGAGTATCTTATGTAATTAAACATTAAATATCTAACCCCTCTATAATGATGAACACTTTTGGAACATTCGAAAGATATCCACTATAGATGAGTTTACAGTACACAGATTTAGTTGCTTGTGAATTGCTACCGCTTTAATTGTTATCCTGTTGAAATGTTGAATTATAAAAAATCACATCCAATCCTCACATCTTTCGATTGTATGTATACGTTATCTACTGAATTAAATGTCATATTTAATAATTCCTACAAAAGTGATCTTTGAACTAATGACATTCAATATTCAATAAACAATATTAATACTCTTTGTAAATAACTCAAAATAAACAATAGTAGATCTTAATATCTATGTAATACGTTTTTTTGATACGTTTCAATCCACAACTAATATACCTAAAGATACATTGATTTGATAAATAATTTAATATTAAAATAACAACGAAAGGTAATTTCAAAAACCAAACAGCTCTGTATCCTTTTATTTTAATTACAATAGAAATACTTAAGGTCATATTTTTTATTGGCTTTGAAGACATCAACTTAATTTCAACATTTATTATAATCTGTTTTTTTTCTTTTAATAAACTAAGCGAAATAATTAATATATAACAAGAGAAAACTGAATTAACAATATTGCTAGATTGGTTCAGTCTGTAATATTGAATTTGTAATAATATCTGATCGAATTTTTTCTATTATTTCGTTTTTTACTTGATATTGTTCTCCAGCATTGATCACAAATAAACTTTGATCAAGAAAATTTTTAATAACAGCTGCAAAACGTAATATTGCATCTCTCGTCCCATATCGATATAACATATATTTAAATATTATTTCAACATAAACATCTTGTATATTCATTAAATGTTTTATATTTGAAGATAAAAAACTTTCATTATCTAAAATAATAAATTAATAATTAGATGAAACCTATAAATTTATTACTTACTGTTATGATAAGAATTTGTTGGTTGAACAACATCAGTACATGTTGAAAAAATAATAGCAGCAATAAATAATTTTATTATAGTTCCATCAAGTTCTTGTTGATCGGCAATACGAAGAAATTGTTCATGAATTTCTGATCCATAATGAATATTAAAGAAATTTTTATATATTGGACTCGAATAAATTTTTGCTTCACGTAAAACAAATATACCACCAAATTCACCAACAGTACGAAAATGTCGTTGAATAAGTTCAATTTTAGTATTTGTTTGTAAAGCAGAAAATTGTGGTAATTTTCTAATAAATTCACCAAAAGAATGAAAAACTGAACTAATTACATTTAGAAATTTATCTGCTACTATTTTCATTCGAATTTTTAAAGGAAAAGTTGACTGAGCAGTTAATATATCAATAATACTGGAAACAGGTGAAGTATTATCATATGCATGAATAATATTTGATAAAACATTCCATTGATCTGTTGTTAATAATGAACGATCATTTTGAAGTAAATCTAATGGATAAATATTTGATTCATATTGAGTCTAGAATCATAAAACAAAGAGATATTTATTTATGTTAAATAAACATGTTGAACTTTAACAGTATTTTGATTAGATGGAAGACGTGAAGCACGAAGTAATTCTTTTTGCATTCCAACAGATAAACATTTTTTAAATCTACATATTCGACATGAATGTCGAGTATTAATTGTTATATTACATACACCACCAAAATGACATATACTTGTTTCCTATTACAAAAAAAAATGAACTTCGACTTTTTTTTTGTTCAAAGTAATATTGACAAACCAGATTGTAATGAACATTTCGACGAAAAAACATTTTACATGGTGCACAACAAATTGCACCGAAATGTTTTTGTGCACCTTTATTACAGCATACATGACATAGACCAGATTGATTAATATTCATTTTTTCAGTGATAAGATCAGATGAAGAAGACTGTTTAGTGAAAGAAATTACATATAGATTAGAGTATTATGGAAATAAAAAAATATCTATAATAGAGAACTAGAATATAAAATTTAGAAATTCTATTGAAGTATTAACAAGTAAATTATCTATAAATGTTTTATTTATGAATTGACATACGCGTGAGACGAAGAGTACTTAATAAACTAGATATTTTTATGTTTTTCTTTGATGAAGTATTTCTTATAATACTTGTAAGGTAATCTACCCCAAGATCATACAGTAAAACTAGTACTATAATTAAATAAACCATGAAGAAAATCTGTCTGAAGAATTATTTACCTTTTATTCTTGTTCCTTTCTTTTGATGGCTCATTTTTTCCATGAAATTATTTTATACATTATTTCTATTACTTCTCTCGTTATAGATAATGAAGCTAAAAAAACTCTATCTACAGTGCATTTTGTCTTTAATACTTTGTTATTCTTCTGTTTTATAAGATTAAAAGAATCCTTTTCATTATTAAATAGGATTAAATCTTATTTTTATTTTTCAATTACAGAACAAAAATTTTACAAAAGGTCATAATGAATTAATGCTGACAGTCTATTAAATTATTATTCTTTGAAATTATGGTATCAAAATGTCATATTAAACCTCAATAAAAACATCATAATCATTGACAAATTAAAGAGGATCTGTTTATTTTCTAGATAAAAATCTAAGGACATATCTGGCTTTTTGTTTATTAAATTACTTATATTAATGTCACTTACTTTCAAACTTCTACAATATATTTCTATCTTGTAATGCATTATATTCAAAGATTTTAAGTATTAACAAGAAAAAAAACTGACTTAAAACGTGTGATATTTTTTTTGTCCTTCAATAATGAGATTATTCTCAAGTATCAGAAAAAAACATGAACACATTTCATAGACTACGTGCTAATCTACGCCTAAGTTATACTTGATGATACTATTGAAATTTCACTCACTGTATATCTTACTATCATTGATTTATTTAGCTAAAATATATTATAGATAAATGCCTATGATTTAATTCTCTAGTTATAAAACATTGAGCGCTTGGAGACAACGATGCAGAAAATTTGTTTTTACTGAAAAGGATAAAACACATTTCATCTTTTCTTAAGAAAAATTTTAAAAATAGATGATACAAAATAATATATATATTAATACATACTTAATTCAAAACAAATTGTTTTAATAAATAAAAATTCTTATCATTGATTGGAAAGATATATTCGACACTATCAGACAACAAATGTTCGAAGATTGCCCTATTTAGTTATATAACATCGTAATGTTATTTACAAAGATCAAAAGTCCACACTGTTTTTCCTCTCGGTACTTTTCTCTTACATATTTAGTGAAGAAACACGTTTTTTTCTTTCTATTTTTCTTCTGTTCTTTCTCTTCAATTCTTTTCACCCCGTTGTTATGTCTAGTAATAAATAATTGAACATAATCTTAATAAAATTATATACTAGAAAAAAGATATTCAGTAGGTCGAATTTTAACTAATGAATAAAAATAGAAAAAACTAAAAATAAATTCTAAAGTATACATAAGGTTAGATAGTTTATAATCGGTAGATATTCAATAAAAGTTCACAATGGAGTATCTAGACACATGAAATTAATATGATGAAATATTCAAGCTAAGAATATATTAAAGATAAAGTTAGTTTATTTATAAATTCAGTTTTATTAAGTACTTTATATTATATTATCTACCTATAAGAAAAAAGAAGTAAAAATAAATATAGACATGAATATTTCTAGTCGTTAGATTTAATTACTGTTCGGGGCAATAATTATAGCTGCATACAAAAGATTAAGATCACACATATTCTCTATCAAAATTTTTACTTTCATTTATCAACAATCTATAATAGACTAAACATTTATGAAATTATATGAAAAGAAACCTAATGTTCTGATAACATGCTAAAAAAAAAGTCTTTTATTATTAAAATTCTTGAGGCATTCATTTATTTTTTATTATGATATATATATAACAGCAAATTATCTGTTCTTTTTTCTTGGTTCGCCGCATTTATCTGAATATAAAACAAAAGGATACGTGTTTATCGTTGAATAAGTCAAAGAAAAGGATTATTTAAAGAGTTGCACCCTTAGATGTCAGTGCGAAAGAAAGAATTATGTTCAATATGCGACTTAATTTAGATTCAAAAAATAATAGTTAAAGAACTTAAGATAAACTTTATCGGATGTCTAACAGATTATAAAAGAAACAATTTTCTTTTACCTTGATGTATCTAATTTTAAATTAAACATTTCCTCTTTGTGAAAAAAGTTCACTGATAAGGAAGAAAAGGAAATGTATAAATTATTGAATTCAGTGAAAAACGCCAATAAATATTATTCATTTCTTAATTCATATTCAAGCTTTAAATTTAATTAAAAATGCACTCATGTATCAGGACTCATAACATCTTATTGATGCCTGAAGAAACTCATGATGTAAACCTCAGTTCATTCACAATCAGATAGTTCTAAATATTTTCTCGTTAGAGTGGAAGTTCATGAAATAAATTTCTTGATATATTGATATATTACGTCGTCGTTTAACATCCAGTGAATACATCTTATCGAATTCAAGATAATGGAATTAATAATTCTGACTCAACTACCATTAATATGATGCCTATTCATCCGATAAATAATAAGATTTCCTATTGGTCAAATATTAGATTTGTTATTGAATTCTAAGATAAAATTTAATTACTAGATTTAATAATTTGAAAAGGAACAAAAAAAAACAAAAGATAATATTCTAATGTATTAATATAGAAAATTCTGTTTATGTTCATAGTTTTGTCTAAAAATCAGTCTAACAAGAATTAAATAATAAGATTCAAACAATCTGTATTTTCTTTACAATTTAAATTTAATAAATCATTGTGTGATTCTTTGTGCCTCTATAATAGTTTTATTTAATTCATTGGACTTATATATATCTTAACACGTTATCAAATATATTGCATGATTATTTTTAAATAAACCAAAAGAAAAGACAAAATTTGTCCAGAAGAATATTTGTTAGTATAAAGATGATAAAATTTTATGAATTAGTTTCATCATTAAATTCTAAATGTTTTTTTTCACCGAATACATGGAAAACTCGAATGTGTCTTCTTCATAAAGGTGTTCAATTTGAAACAATTCCCGTTACTCTCTTAGATGTTCGAGGTGATTTAGCGAATCGTTCAAATAAACCTGATATATATGTACCAGCAATTGAATTACCTGATGGACAATTTATTTATGATTCATTTCATATTGCTGAATGGTTAGAAAATACATATCCAGATCAACCATCATTATTTACAGGTGATGGTCAATCAACAAATAAATCACATCTAGGACATATAACAATGGGAAAAAATTATGCACGTATGATTGATTTAGGTCTTGGTGCATCAAAACCTGAATGGGCTGTTTGGTTTGATCTTTTTTTTCCTCAACTTGATCAATTAATATCTGATGAAAAGTTAAGTAATTATTTTCGATCTGATGCTAGACATGGCCCACAAGGTTATCAAAAATTAATGTCACTCGATCGTCAAGACCTTATACGTCGTGCTAAAATGAATATTCAACCTTTAGTACAAATATTACAAGAACGTCCAAATGAATATTTTCAAGGTAAACATCCAGGACTAGTTGATTATGTTATATTTGGTCGTTATGCATATTGTCGAATGCTTGATTCACAATTAGCAAAACAAATTTGGGAAGATCAAGGAGAAGAACTATCAATTTGGATTGATAAATTATCTAAAGCTTATGATGGACATGCATTGAAAATTTTTCAAAATTCTCATTAAAAATTCTTTTCTATACTTTTATATTAGATTCGATTAATATAATTGATCGTTTTTGAAATAAGCTCAAAATTCTACGATAACAACAGAATGTTAAGAATCATTTGCCATACTGATATAAGCGATATTCTGAAAATTTAGTTTGTATTGTATCATATGATAATTATTCTTTCTTTCTTATAACAGCAGGTGTTCGCATGTATTTTGTCAACGTAGATAAATGTTTACAAAATTGGAAACTCTATCTTCATAATCATTAGTAGAATTAATCTACTGACACTAATAAAAGGTCATATGTTTTCGATTTCATAAAACGTTATTTTTATCTCATTTTAATTCGTATTTATAAAAGAAATATTATTATAGATCTATTCAAAGTACTTACGAATAACTTCAATCATTTTTTATGAGTTATAAAAAAAGCAAATAATCTATTCATTCTTCATAACAATACTATTTGGAGTTATGTTTACACTACAAATGCATAATATGTTATTCAATGTATCTTAAAAATTTCACTCATAAATACAAAAAAATTTATTTTTATAACTTGTGAAAGATTATTGTTCTTCGATAAAGTCATTTATGATTACTTCAAAAGAATATATGAACTATCGACATTCACTTGTTGGTGATAAAAATATTGGGTCATTTATTTACAGTACAATGAGAATATTTGAATTTCAAGAAATAACTTGATTGAAATAAATTAAGAATAATAATTCAAAACGATATTTTAATGATAAAGAAAGTAAAATTGTATTTGTTTCACTTAAAAACCTTCTCGTAAAACAATAAATATTTATATTTTATATAAAAAAGTATCTGATAACAAAGTGTATTGATAATTATTAGTAGGGAACTACAATTGGTTCGTTAAAAATGCTACATACAATAGAGAGGCATCGTATTTCGTTTTGAAAGTTTTCTTCAAGGTACGCATATTGATAAAAATAAATCAAATATTCTTTAAATTCAAAATAGTAGTAAAATTTACATATTGAATGAATTAGAAATATCTTTTAAAATTCTTCCAAAAGT